TGCTTGTGGCATGCGCAACTTGTGTGCCATGTTTGTCTTCCTGCCTGAGAACGTGCAAAACCGCACCTGCAGCAAGTGCAACCTGGCTGCCTTCCTGGAAAAGAAGGTAGAGCGACTTCAGTCCCACCTATTCACACTTCGAGCCACCGGGCAAGATGACGAAATTCTCACTAGACAGGAATGGACTGACCTGGAAAAGAGACGCAGGTGGGGTGCCCCTAGGGAGAAAGATCGCCCAACCCTGGAGGAATGTGACCCAAAAAGGCAAAACTGTCTGGAGCCTTGCTGTGTCTCTGGAACTACAAAACTGATTCCATGCCCTCACCTCGGACACCGGTTTTCGGCCAGAAGAGAGCAAGAACAGTAGTTTCAAACCCCAGAACAAACAAAGGTTGCAGTTCCTGCTGCTCCCCAGAAAAAGGAAGAGACATGCAGTGCTGGCAGGTGACTCCCTACTGAGGGGGAGAGAGGCAGCAGCGTGCAGAGGAAGGACTCGTGATTTCAGCTGTGTCTATACTAATGCACAGTGTATGGGAAACAAGCAAGACAAATTTGATCACTTACAGCAGGTTGGCAAATATGACCTAACAGACATTACTGAAACCTGGTAGGATAAGACTAATGACTGGAATGTAGGAATTGAGGTGATCAAAAGAAATAGATCAAAAGGAAGCGAGGAAGAGGAGCGTTATATGTAAAGAATGTGTACACTTGTGAAGAAATCCATGACCTGGAGCATGAAAAACAGATTGAGAGTATATGGGTAAAAACTGTAGGAGAAAGAATCAACACTGATCTTACTGTGGGTGTCTGATATAGACGATGCCTAACTAGAACAGGTTACCAAACATTCAAAAATGAAAGATATTGTAGTCATAGGAGACTTTGACTACCCCGATATATGTTGGAACGCAAACTCTGCCAAGAATGTAATATCCAACAAATTCCTCCATTGCCTCGCTGACAATTTCATTTCCCAGAAGGTAGAAGCAGCAACAAGGGGGTCATCTATCTTGGACCTGGTCCTCACCAACATAGAGGAACCGATCAACGAGGTGGAAGCACTGGGAACCTTGGAAGGAAGTGATCGTGTTTTCTTGGGTTTCATTATACACAAGCAAGGGTAAGATGAGTGTAGTCAGGCACGCACTCTGCACTTTCAGAAGGCTCATTTCCAAAAGCTTAAGGACAGGGGTACCAACATGAATAAAATGGGGAGGGGCAGTTAAGCAGCTGAGGGGATGCAGGTGACACCAAACTTGGGGGGGGGGGTAGCTAATGCCACAGACGACAGAATCAGAATTCAAAATGACCTTCACAGATTGGAGAACTGGGCCCAAAACTTACAAAATGAGTTTCAGTAGGGACAAGAGTGAGGTTCTGCACTTAGGCAAGAACAACCAGATGCACAAATATAGGATGGGGGATACCTGGCTTATTAGCAGCACATGTGGAAAGTATCTAGGGGTCTTGGTGGACCACCAGTTAAACATAAGTCAACCGTGTGATGCAGCAGCAAAAGAAGCTAATGCTATTCTAGGCTGCATCAACAGAAGTTTAGTGTCCAGATCAAGGGAAGTAATAAAGATAAAGGGACCCCTGACCATTAGCTCCAGTCGTGACCGACTCTGGGGTTGTGGCGCTCATCTCGCTTTACTGGCCGAGGGAGCCGGCGTACAGCATGACTGAGCCGCTTCTGGCGAACCAGAGCAGCACACAGAAACGCCGTTTACCTTCCCGCCGGAACGGTACCTATTTATCTATTTGTACTTTGACATGCTAGGTTGGCAGGAGCAGGGACGGGGCATTGGGAGCTCACCCCGTTGCGGGGATTTGAACTGCCGACCTTCTGACTGGCAAGTCCTAGGCTCTGTGGTTTAACCCACAGCGCCACCCGCGTAAGGGAAGTAATAGTCCCAGTCTATTCTGCATTGGTCAGACCACACCTGGAATACTGTGTTCAATTCTGGGCACCACAATTTAAGAAAGATGTTGACAAGGTAGAATGTGGGCAGAGGAGGGTAACCAAGATGATCAAGGGTCTGGAAAGCAAGCCTGATGAGGAACGGTTGAAGGAGCTGGGTATGTTTAGCCTGGAGAAGAGACTGAGAGAAGAAAGGAGAGCCATCTTCCAATATCCCCTCATGTTGCAAGGGAGTCCATTCCACAGCTGAACAACTCTTACCCTCAAAAAGTTCTTCTTGATGTTCAGACAGAATCTCCTTTCTTGCAATCTGAATTCACTGGTCCAGGTCCTGTCCTCTGGAGCAGCAGGAAACAAGACCGCCCCAGAACTCCATCCTCCTTCCTCCCGACCTGGAAGGGTTTCAGGCAGGGAGGCAGGAGAGCACAGCCACCCTGGGACAAGGACAGCAGACATTTAGCTGAGACACCTACATTGCAGCGGGTTGGGCTAGATGACCCCTTGGAGTCCCTTCCAACTCTACAATTTTATAGGGTATTTTTAAAATCCATGATTCCTGCTTCCGCCCACCACCACAGAGGAGTCCTCGCAATAGGTGCCCTCACCTGCCCCTCCCTTAAGAGGTTCCCCCAGTCCTGAGCCACAAAGCGGACCCTTCTCCCAGGGTTATAACCAGGAACAACCACAGAGGCCACCCACCCCTAAAAAACCCTCACAGAACACCACCATTCCCAGAGCACAGGGTGGGCAAGGGGGGCATTTAGCTGAACGGCAGTGGGGGCATCTGGGGTAGTAGTAATAATAATAATAATAATAATAATAATAATAATAAAATTTATTTATACCCCGCCCTCCCCAGCCAAGACCGGGCTCAGGGCGGCTAACAAGCAAAAATAAAAACATGTTGATTAAAACACAATTTAAAAAACAAGATTAAAATACAACATTAAAACATTAGGATGCAGCCTCTTCACAGGAGGAGAAAGGACAAAGAAAGATTTGGCTGATTCTAAGCCAAAGGCCAGGTAGAACAACTCTGTCTTACAGGCTCTGCGGAAAGAAATCAGATCCCGCAGGGGCCTGGTCTCAGGAGACAGAGCGTTCCACCAGACTGGGGCCAGCGTTGAGAAGGCCCTGGCTCTGGTTGTGGCTAATCTGACTTCCTTAGGGCCCTGGACCTCTAGGGTGTTGCTGTTTATGGTCCAAATTCCAGGCATCACCAGCAGCATCTCAATCCAGGAAGGACGGGCAGAAGATGAATTTGAAGGGGGTCGTTTGGAAAACTGTTATTATTGGGGGAGGCAAGAGACCTAAGAGGGGATTTGACCCTGGCAACGGTCTGTCATCAGCGGTGCAAAGCCAGCAGCCCCCTTTTCTGCCCCACACTGGGAGCAGCAGGGCAGCTCATGGCACTCAAATGAAAGGGGCTCCCTAGTCCTCATGGAGGAAGGCGAATCATAGAATCAAGAGGGTGGGAACTGGGGGTCATCTAGTCCAACCCCCAGCGTTGCAGGAATCGTAACTGAAGAATTCCTGGTAGATGGCAGCCCAACCCCTGCTTAAAAACAGGCAAGGAAGGAAGGCCCACCACCTTCGGAGGGAGTCCATGGGGCTGCGGGGCGGGGGGGCTGTCAAACCAGACCCTGTAGCTCTAGTCCTCACTGAGGATGGTGAAGAAGGGGCTGTCAAATCAGCACCTTTAACCTGGGGCGGTTCTAGTCCCCAATGAGGATGGAGAGAGGCTGTCAAATGAGGGCCCACAACATGGGGTGCTTGAAGGGGGAGCCTGTCTAATCAGACTCCGTGACATGGGGTGCTTCTAGCCCTCATTGAGGATCCTGAAGGGGGGAGCCTGTCAAATTAGGGCCCATGACACGGGACGGTTCTAGTCCCCATTGATGATGATGATGTGGGGAGACTCTCTAATCATGGCCCATGACACGGGACAGTTCTAGTCCTCATTGAGGATCCTGAAGCAGGGAGCCTGTCAAATCATGGCCCATGACACAGGACGGTTCTAGCCCTCGTTGAGGATCCCTAATCATGGCCCACGACATGGGGGTGCTTCTAGCCCTCATTGAGGATGCTGAAAGGGAGAGCCTGTCAAATTATGGCCCATGACATAAGGACGGTTCTAGCCCTCATTGAGGATGCTGGAGGTGAGCTGTCAAATCAGGCCCTGCAACACGGGGGTGCTTCTAGCCCTCATTGAGGATCCCTAATCATGGCCCACGACATGGGGGTGCTTCTAGCCCTCATTGAGGATGCTGAAAGGGAGAGCCTGTCAAATTATGGCCCATAACTTGGGGGTGCTTCTAGCCCTCATTGAGGATCCTGAAGGGGGGGGGAGCATGTCAAATTAGGGCCCATGACACGGGACGGTTCTAGCCCTCATTGAGGATGCTGCAGGGAGGGGGCTGTGCAATGGTGGCCCAGGCGCGGGGGCGGTTCTCCACCCCCCTGCAAGGCGCCCTCTCCCCCCGCGCCCTCCCCAGAGCCGGAGATGGGGGGGGGGGTCTTTACCTGCGCCCTCCTGCCCGCTCTTTCTTCCTTCCCCGACACAAAGGTCGCGGCAGCAGCGGCGGCGGCGGCCGTAGCCCCGCCCCCCGGCTCTGAGCGGCGGCCCCGCCAGCCAATGGGCTAGGCGCTTGCCAGGCGCCCGGGTCGCCCGGGCGGCTCCGCCAGCCACGTGCGAGGCGAGGAGCCCGGTGCGCGGGCACGTGACGGGGCGGGGAGAGAACGCGGAGACATGTGCGGGGGCGGGGCCGGGCGAGGAGGCACGTGCAGGAGGGCGAGCGGCGGCGGGGGGAGGGGTCTCGGCGGCGCCCCGTTCACGTGTACAGACCGTTCCGACGTTACGCGAGCGCCGACGCGTGGATTTCCCAGGCGAGGGGCGGAAGGCGTCGCCCAGCGACCACCCGCCGTAGCCTCAGGCTGCCCATTGTCCTGCCCCGACCCCGCTCCGCGCCCCTCCTTATAATCTTGCTAACTCATTCAGAGAATCGTATACAGTACGTAGCTGGAAGGGACCCAACTGGAGGGTCATCTAGTCCAACCCCGTGCAGTGCAATATTTTCGCCCAACGTGGGACTCGAACCCACGACCCCAAGGTTGATAGTCTCACGCTCCCACGACTGAGCTATTCCAGCTGTTCCTGGGTTGAAGAAAGAAGGAAGTAGGAAAAGAAAAGAAATTGCATGGCTGCAGCTCAGCCAAATGGGCAGGGTTCAAATAATAAAATTAATATTATCATTCTTATTATTTGGAATAATAACTGTGGAGTTGGAAAGGGAACCCCACGTGCCCCTGCAATATTAGCTAAAGTATTCCTGGCAAGGGGCCAGATTAATCATAGTAATCATAATACAGTGGTACCTCGGGTTACATACGCTTCAGGTTACAGACTCCGCTAACCCAGAAATAGTGCTTCGGGTTAAGAACTTTGCTTCAGGATGAGAACAGAAATCGTGCTCCGGCGGCGCGGCAGCAGCAGGAGGCCCCATTAGCTAAAGTGGTGTTTCAGGTTAAGAACAGTTTCAGGTTAAGTACGGACCTCCGGAACGAATTAAGTAAGTAACCAGAGGTACCACTGTACAAACTAATAGCAAACCTAAAAACAGCAAACTAAAACGGCAACCAAGTTTTAAAGCTTGGCAGTAGGACCCGGCAAAGACCCGGGTTCAAACCCCGCCAGTGGGTGTGCCTTTGGGGGCCCATCACTGCCTCTTAGCCCGTCCTACCTCATAGGGTTGTTGTGAGGATAAAACAGAGGCAGGGGACACCACGCTGCCACCTTGAGCTCCTTGGAGGAAAGCAGGAGGGAAATAAATCAAATAAATAGTAGGGGGGAAAAGGAAAAAGTCGCAGAACCGGCAGCAGGGAGTAGAAATGGCCCTGCCCAGTGCCTCAGTGAGGGTGAGGGTGCCTTCCAGAGTGCCTTGCGAAAGCGAGGAGCCACCACAGAAAAGGCTCCGTCTCCTCCCCCTTCACCCCACACACGTATTGAGGCAACATCCCTGGTCTCTCCCAGGGAGAATCCAGCCAGTGGCCCGACTGGGTGAACTGGGAGGCCGCCCTCCATACCCACAGCCTGCCTTCCGTGGATAGGTGAAGAGGCTGCTCCCAGCTGGGCTCTGATTGGCTGAGAGGGATGCTGCTTCAGGGATGCTCAGGGATTAGACGATCAGAGCAGCATCGGCTTGTTTTCAGAGCCTCTGCCTGCCTGTGCCAGCCCCCTCCTCGCCACGCTGCCCTCTGATGGGTGGCTCCCGGCGGGATGAGCAGCGACACGGAGATCCCCACAGGGATACATCGGGGCTACCTCCGCAAATATGGTGAGTTACCCCAACTCCCCCCCCCCCCACGACCCTGGCACCATTCTGCCCCTGGCATCTTGTTGGGGGGCGGGGTGGGAACAAGAATCCATGTTGTTGTTGTTGTTGTTGTTGCCTAGGTCTCCTGCTCTTCCCGCACCCCCTCTTTTTAAAAATGCTTTTGAAAGAAAGAAACCACTTTTGCTTGCAGGGGTGCTGAGCGTTTTGCAAAAGACCTCAGGGTGGCTTGCATACTTTCCCCTCTCCCCATTTCATCCTCACGACAGTCCTGTGAGGGAGGTTAGGCTGAGAGTGAGGGGCTGGCTCCAACCACTAGGTCATAGCTGTCAACGTTTCCCTTTTTTTATTCCCGTATTCCGAATAGGATTCCTCGCAAGAAAAGGGGAAAGTTGACAGCTATGCACGAGGCACCCACAGCCACTTCCCAGCTTAATTGGCTCAAAAACCTGTATTTGTGTATAAACGTGTATGTGTGGGTATGCAAATTGGTGGGACTTTTCAGTTGCTAGCAGAGTCCCTTTCTAGATTAAGGGATGTTGCTGTCGTTTAGTCGTTTAGTCGTGTCTGACTCTTCGCGACCCCAAGGACCAGCGCACGCCAGGCACTCCTGTCTTCCACTGCCTCCCGCAGTTTGGTCAAACTCATGCTGGTAGCTTCGAGAACACTGTCCCACCATCTCGTCCTCTGTCGTCCCCTTCTCCTTGTGCCCTCCATCTTTCCCAAAATCAAGCTCTTTTCCAGGGAGTCTTCTCTTCTCCTGAGGTGGCTGAAGTCTTGGAGCCTCAGCTTCAGGATCTGTCCTTCCAGTGAGCACTCAGGGCTGATTTCCTTCAGAATGGAGAGGTTTGATCTTCTTGCAGTCCGTGGGACTCTCAAGAGTCTCCTCCAGCACCAGAATTCAAAAGCATCCATTCTTCAGTAATCAGCAGCCTTTATGGTCCAGCTCTCGCTTCCATACATCACTACTGGGAAAACCATAGCTTTAACTATATGGACCTTTGTTGGCAAAGTGATGTCTCTGCTTTTTAAGATGCTGTCTAGATTAAGGAATATGGAAAGGCAAATGCAAGCCCGGAGAAATCGCTGGGACAAAGGTTATGGGGAGTGGGACTCAAAAGTAGCTGGAAGCAGCACCCTCTCTGCCCCAGAAGATGCCTGCTTCATTCCCTAATCCCGGCTGTGTAGGATCTCAGGGTTGCACAAAACAGCTCTCTGCACATGTTCAAAGGGCCCATTCATCTTTCCTAGCAGTTCATCGTGTCTTTTCCATAACAACAGGTTAATGACTTCTCAACCAGAAGCCAGGTGCTCAGGCTGCTTAAAAATCTCCAGGTTAAAATGTGTAAAGGTTGTTCTTTCTCTCAATTCTAATCAAAGCTGGGGGTGTTTTTTGGAGGGTGGGGACATCTAAATACAGCGTTTTGCAAGAAAGAAGAGGATAGATATGTGGTTGTTCCCAAGTAGCTGGTCGTTCTGAAGCTTGCTCTGTACTGCTGTTAATGAGTTTTGTTCCGTATATTGTTGTCCCGGCCGTGATATTTCATGAGAGGGCGGTATACAGATATTTCTTTAAATAGATAAATATACAAAAGCAAGCAAGCAAAGGAACAATGAGGCTATGGGATTCAGCCCTGGAGGAGACTTGTGCTCAGGCTCAGCCCTGGAAGTAGGTTTGTTGATTTAGCATTTGGGGAATATTTAAAATTAGAACTGAGATTAAGAAAAAGAGATCCCTTCCCTTTGAATCTGCCGTTTGAGATTCCCAGACTCCAGGGATTTCTAAAGTCCTGGCTAAGTGTAAACAAGTCAGTGGATCAAGGAGTAGCCCCTTCCTCCTAGCAAGCTCCTGCGTTGTGCCAGCAGCTATGCAGACAGAAATTCAACAGGTGGTGGTTGCCTTCAGCCTTGTCAGGGGGAGGGAAGCGGAATGGTTATAGTGATGAGCTGTGCCTGTTGAATTTCTGTGAGCCACACTTTGTGGGTTATTTCATCTTTATTTTAAAAAAAATCCACAGCTAGGCAGCTTCTACCCAACAGGGGGCTAATTTTGCATTGTGGCAGGTACTAAATTTCTAGAAAGCAGTGAACGCTCCCTCTCATCCTCAGTGAGAGCGACTTACACTCTGTACCTGCTCAGAGGCAGGGACGGCTCCTCTTTCATACATCCCAGGACTCATTCCTGCTGCTGGAATGGAAGCAAGTGCCAGGATTGAGCCCCAGCACAAATAAATAAACCCCTACCATGGGTCATGATTTGTTTATAATCCCACCAGTCTTGCATCTTCTTCCATCAGGCAAGGGATACAACTGGCTGATTCTGCCTTTGTTTTGTGTCCCATTTCTCACAGGATTTTGGGGAGATGAATGCAAAGTTTTTTTCACCAGGCAGGGGAAAAAACCACAACTTTCTAGGTCAATCAGGATGCTTTTAAATTACATTTTTAAAAAATCTGCTCCTAGAGCTTTAATTAATTAATTGCATAATTTAGTTGATTAAACCCAAAGCACCAGATCTCCCAGCTGTGCAAAAGGATCAGCTCACCCCAAACCCTGATGACGAGGGTACCCCAGGCCCAAATTTAGCACAGTAATAACAATAATAATTTTCTTATTTGTACTCGGCCCGTATGACTGAGTTGCCCCAGCTCCTCTGGTCAGCTGGGTAATCTTCCTGGCCTGCAAAAGGGAATAACAAAGCTTTTTATCGTTCTATGATATCCCCCTGGACCAGAGCACGCCAGGCACTCCTGTCTTCCACTGCCTCCCGCAGTTTGGTCAAACTCATGCTGGTAGCTTCGAGAACACTGTCCCACCATCTCGTCCTCTGTCGTCCCCTTCTCCTTGGGCCCTCCATCTTTCCCAACATCAGGGTCTTTTCCAGGAGTCTTCTCTTCTCATGAGGTGGCCAAAGTCTTGGAGCCTCAGCTTCAGGATCTGTCCTTCCAGTGAGCACTCAGGGCTGATTTCCTTCAGAATGGAGAGGTTTGATCTTCTTGCAGTCCATGGGACTCTCAAGAGTCTCCTCCAGCACCAGAATTCAAAAGCATCAATTCTTCAGTAATCAGCAGCCTTTATGGTCCAGCTCTCACTTCCATACATCACTACTGGAAGAAAATTATACAGACAGCAAAACAAAGAAGTCTGAGTTAACATGGCCTTCTACCAATCAGAAATAATAATACTATAATAATAATATAATAATAATAATAATTTATTATTTATACCCCGCCCATCTGGCTGAGTCTCCCCAGCCACTCTGGGCGGCTCCCAATCAAGTGTTAAAAAAAGTACAGCGTTAAATATTAAAAACTTCCCTGAACATGGTAATAACTATTACAATAGTGAAAATACTAAAAATACATTTACTTCCCCTTTTGAACTTCTATTCTGGTTACAATATATTGCTATTCTATTAGAATCTATTATATCCTTTGCTGTCCCATATATTATTTTATTTCCCAAATTCAACCTAACCCTCCCCTCCTCCCCACTGCTTCCCTTCACCTGTGTGAGATCTTCCCAACATAATATTTTATCTAGTTGCTTTAACAAAATAAAATAACATGAAAACTTATAAATTATAATTAATTCTTTCATCCTTACACAATTGCCTATTAAGAGTTCTGCTTTAACCCCATATTTCTTCATGTCTTCACCTCTGCATTCCCAATCTGTATAGAATTTTTGATTGGAGCAGCCCCTGATTGCTGCAGTCATTTTTTGCCATCTTGCCAAACTCACAAATCTTAACTTGCCATTCTGTCAATTGTGGTACTTTTTCTGTTTTCCAATATTTTGCCATAAGTATTCTTGCGGCTGCGGTTATATACAAAAATATATTCCTTTTGTCCTTGGGTATGTCTGCAACTTTTAAATGACATCTGAAGGCAGCAATGTACAGTGGTGCCTCGCAAGACGAAATTAATTCGTTCCGCAAGTTTTGTCGTCTTGCGATTTTTTTCGTCTTGTGAAGCACGGTGTCGGGAAAGTTTTGGAAAAGCTTCAAAAATCACCAAAGTCTTTAAAAACCTCAAAAAAGGCTACCACACCGCATTCTATGAGTTGCTCCTCGAAGTCAAGTCGCAACTGTATTAACGGTGTTAAGAAAAGGAAACAAACTTGCAAGACGTTTCCGTCTTGCGAAGCAAGCCCATAGGGAAAATCGTCTTGCGAAGCAGCTCAAAAAACAAAAAACCCTTTCGTCTAGCGAGTTTTTTGTCTTGCGAGGCATTCGTCTTGCGAGGTACCACTGTATAGGGAGGTTTTGTTTAATGTTTAATGTTTTATTATGCTTTTATATATGTTGCAAGCCATCCAGAGTGGCTGGGGCAACCTAGTCAGATGGGCGGGGTATATATAATAAAATTATTTGTAGTAGTAGTAGTATGGAATAGGACATCCCTATTTTCATCGGATAAATGTTGCAGGGTATGAAACTGCATTCTCTCCCCCCCCTCCGGCCTTTTGGGATTATTGCCGCTAGCATTTGATTGAATCCTAATCCCAAAGCGCCCACGAGAGAATTTAATCATTGTTTTAATCTGTTTGTTGCTGTGCATGATGTTTGTCCCGTCGTCAGCCTACGACAGATTGATGGAAACGGAATCTCCTTAGTAGCAAATTACTCTCTGGGATAAACGAGCCATCCGTCCACTCAGTAATGAGAGAGCCTGATGAACAGCGGAGGAGAGGGCAAGAGAGGCATAATCCCCACTTCCGTCCAAAAGGGAGCAGAGGAGGTTGCTAGTCCCCAAGAGGCAAGGGTGTTCTGGGGGTTGGTCTGGATGACCCTTGGAGGTCCCTTCCAACTCTCCCATTCTATAAGATTGAGGTTGAATCCTGACAAGACACAAGTACTGTTTTTGAGGGACAGGAGGGGGGCAGGTGTGGAGGACTCCCTAGTCCTGAATGGGGTAACTGTGCCCCTGAAGGACGAGGTGCGCAGCCTGGGAATCATTCTGGACTCACAGCTGTCCATGGAGACCCAGGTCCATTCTGTATCCAGGGCAGCTGTCTGCCCGCTGCATCTGATACACAGGATGAGACCCTCCCTGCCCGCAGACTGTCTTGCCAGAGTGGTGCGTGCTCTAGTTATCTCCCACTTGGACTACTACAATGCACTCTAGTGGGGCTACCTTCGAAGGTGACCCAGAAACTACAACTGATCCAGAATGCAGCAGCCAGACTGGTGACTGGGAGCGGCCACTGAGACCATACTACACCGGTCCTGAAAGACCTACATTGGCTCCCAGTACGTTTCCGAGCACAATTCAAAGTGTTGGTGCTGACCTTGAAAGCCCTAAACGGTCTCGGTCCAGTATACCTGAAGGAGCATCTCCACCCCCATCGTTCTGCCCGGATGTTGAGGTCCAGCGCTGAGGGCCTTCTGGTGGTTCCCTCATTGCGAGAAGCCAAGTTACAGGGAACCAGGCAGAGGGCCTTCTCAGTAGTGGCGCCCGCCCTGCGGAACAGCCTCCCACCAGATGTCAAGGAGAACAACAACTACCAGACTTTTAGAAGACATCTGAAGGCAGCCCTGTTTAGGGAAGCTTTTAATGTTTAGTGCATTCCTGTATTTTAATATTTTGTTGGAAGCTGCCCAGAATTACTGGGGAAGCCCAGCCAGATGGGCGGGGTATAAATAATAATTATTATATTATATTATTATTATAACCAGATTGGGTTGCCAATGGAAAGGTCCCAGGGCTCATATCTGCCTGCAAGTCACACCTTCCACCTCTGAAGCTAGTCGGCTGAGATTCCTTGGCCTTAAACCAAAACAAATGCTCTCACGCTTCTGACTTCTATCTCCTTGCCAACCTTGACCTCAAGTGGTCCTTTGCAGGAGGCTTCCTTTTCAAGCAGTGGAAGGAGAAGTTCATCGTCGTTTCGCTGGACGGCAGCCTGCTCATCTGCCCGGATGCCGACTCCCCGGCCGAGCTGGGCATCTCCCTGGGCACCAGCTGCGAGGCCATTCTGGAGGGCAGCGAGATCTGCGACCTGCCGCGCCTTCCTCTGGGGGCCCAGACGGACAGCTGCCTGGGGCTGAGCCTCCGCGACGGCAAGTTCCTCCTCTTCCTCGCCCCTGACGGCCAAGTGTGCAGGTGGGCCTGCCCTCCTTCTGTAGTTTATGGCGGGCGCTGGGAACTGTGGCTGCATGAGGGGTCTCCGCAAATTCATCCAGTCCCCTTTCAAAGCCATCCAAGTTAGTCGTCGTCACTATAACTTGCGGAGGCGATTTCCAACATTCCTAGCATTGTTGCACACCATGCAATTGCATAATAGTGTTGCGTGTGACTTAGCTGTAGCGTTCCCAAAGCAAGGAAGGATTGGACTCTGATTAATAAAATACAAGGCTTGACCAGCAAGACTCTGGGAGGGGTGCCAATAATCATCATCCTCTCCACCCCTCGGCCCAGGTCGTTTTATTCACCAAAGAAATTTTTACACAGTGTTCTTAAGAACCAATCAGATTTCCTCTGAGCATTTCAAAAACCCCACGTGAGACAAAATCAGATCAGAAGAAAGTCTTTTAACTACAAAGAAACTATTTCCTACTTGAGCATGCATACATTCTGGGGTAAATAAAACAGGATAAAAGGAGGAATGCATTCAGCAAACCAGTGGGACATGGTTGGCGCTGTGGGTTAAACCACAGAGCCTAGGACTTGCCGATCAGAAGGTTGGCGGTTCGAATCCCCGCAACGGGGTGAGCTCCCGTTGCTCGGTCCCTGCTCCTGCCCACCTAGCAGTTCGAAAGCACGTCAAAGTGCAAGTAGATAAATAGGTACCACTCTGGCGGGAAGGTAAACGGCATTTCCATGCGCTGCTTTGGTTCGCCAGAAGTGGCTTAGTCATGCTGGCCACATGACCTGGAAGCTGTACGCCGGCTCCCTCAGTCAGTAAAGCAAGATGAGCGCCACAACCCCAGAGTCGGCCACGAATGGACCTAATGGTCAGGGGTCCCTTTACCTTTACTTATCGTTGCACCTTTATGCAATCTATTATTATTATTATTATTATTATTATTATATCACAAATATGGAGGACAGTTTTAAATAGTAATGAAATACACGGTGTAAAGTTGGCACAGAGCCTAGAAGCATTTTATTCATACCAATGTTGCTCACATTTTCACATCAAAACTTGATTTTCATATGCAGCCAATATAAAAAATGGCTGAGGGCTCACCACTCTGACTTTTTGCCCCAGGCACATGTGTGCGCTTAAAAGCGACATAGGATCATAAAACTGTTGAAATGGAAAGGACCTTAAGGATCATCCATTCCAACCGCCCACAAGGCAGGAATAAGCCGCTTCGAACCTGCAACCTTGGCGTTATCGGCACCACGCTCCAGCCAACTGAGCTATCCAGGCTCTAGCTTGGATATACAGTGGTACCTCGGTTTAAGAACAGCCCTGTTTACGAACGATTCGGTTTACGAACTCCGCAAAACTGGAAGTAGTGTCCCGGTTTGAGACCTTTACCTCGGTCTAAGAACGGAATCCGAACGGTGGAAGGGCACCAGCGGCGGGAGGCCTCATTAGGGAAAGCGCAGCTTGGTTTAAGAACAGTTTCGGTTTAAGAATGGACTTCCAGAACGGATTAAGTTTGTAAACCGAGGTACCACTGTATGTCTGATTTGCTTGGCTTTGCCCCAGAACTTTCCCCATGGAAACCTGCACTTTCAGACTCAACCGGAGCAAATGTCAATTTGGGTTTTCCACCGCTGGCCATTGATTGGCCTGCTTTAAAGAGCAGATTACCGCAAGGAAAGTTCCAGAACGAAAAAGGGGGGGGGCGCTGCTTTGACACTGAGCTTCAAAGCTCAGACTGCCTTGAAAGATCAAGTGTGGATAAGCCCTGAGGAATTTGAACCCTGGTCTCTCCCAGGTCCTGGTCCAACACTCTTAACCCTTAGGCCAAGGCAGTTACAGCACCGTAAGATGCCAGATGGGTCAACGGAGTGATGCTTGCAGGGGCAGAGTACATGATGAGGCACAACGGCATCCATAACACAAAATCCTGTTTTCCTTTTTTCCTCAGACGGTGGCTCAACATCTTGAGAAAAGTCAAAGAGGTAAGGATTTGAAATGGAAACTGTTGTAAACAAAAATTGCCCTTTTCCCTTATGGGGCATCCAAGAGTCCACTCCTCTGTCGGTTTTTGTTCTGATTGGCCTCTTACTACTGCTGTAAGTCTTGCTGATTCTATATATTCACAAAATATATAGCCGGACTATATTTTGGAAGGAAAAAAAATGAACGCATTCCGATGCCCCACAAATAACCCAGAGATGCATTTTAAATAAAAGGGCACATTCTACTCATGTAAAAACATGGATTTAGACGGCGATTGGGCCAGATCCGGCCCCTGGGCCTTAGTTTGCCTACCCATGATCTAGATGACTCTCTGGGGTTCTTCCAACTGTGATTCTCGGCTTCTTTCTGCAGAGCTTCTCCCAGGGATCCCCCTCCAGTTGCAAGCTCCACATCAACTCGCCGGTGAGAAAACGCTTCTGGAAAGGCGCTGGGGACAGCGGGTCTCCAAGCCCCAGCACGGAGAGACGAGAAGGTAGTGGTTCCAGAGGTTGTGTGGGGCACCAGTGGGCCACATATGGGCATCCCTGTCAGGAGCTCAGCCTACTCTCAAGTAGGACCCTGGTAGAGACATATGCCCAACTGCCATGTTCGCTCCCTCCTGGTCGATCGTTCGGGAGCTTCAAAAGCTTTCTTCAGCCCGAACATCACAGCGATGCCAACAGACATCAGCACACTTAGGGATCCGCAGAGTCTTCGCAGTTCGCGTGACAGACCTCAGAAACTCAGCATTTTGGCTAATCTACTTTATTTACATATAAACACACACGGAGCACTGCAACATGGCTCCCTCTCTAGCATCAGACAGAAAAGAGGAAAAGAACAAAGGACAATAGTCCCACTTCATGGAACACAGTAACACAAGCATCCTGTCTCCGTCACTTCCCACTCTGTGGAGTCAAAACATATACCGTCATGTGAAAGACAACAATCCCATGACTGCAATCGCGGAGCAGGAATTCTAACATCCCCTCTTGGGTCAGGGCAAGGGAGATACCAATCAGACAGGATTAGCTGGAAGGGTGGCAACCATAATGAACACAGAGGAAGCCGGTATGCTCTACATTCCCCAAACTGGTGCCTTCCAGATGTTTGGGACAACATGTCCCAGCCAGCCCAGCCATATCTCCATTTCCTTGTGGAACTCGCTGCTGCAGGAAGCACTGATGGCTACCAAACCAGATGGCTTTAAAAGAGGATTAAGACAAATTAATGGAGGAGAGGACTATCAGTGGCTACTAGCCAGGATGGCTATGTTCTACCTCCACATCTGGAGGCAGCAACGCATCTGAATCCCAGTTGCTGGTGTTGTAAACAAAAATCTGCCCTTTTCCCCTTATGGGGTATCCAATAGCCCATATAGAGTCCTTACATAGGTTCCCTATCGGTAGGAGAAAATAACAGAGGCCAACCAGAGAATATTGAGAAGCAAAGCAGCTAGTAAGCTTGATCTTTATTGATCTGTTGCAACAAGGTGCTCCCCTCTCATGCAGGAAAGGAGGAGAACCCAGAAGCAAGGTGTGCCCGCCCTTATATAGACATTTTAAATTCCCTGCCCTGGAGCTCAAGACCACCCCTCCATACATCATACATACATCAAGGAAAGTGTGTAACCCAAGACCACCACCCCAGATACATCATACCTACATCACAGAAAAGGCGGTCTACAGCAGAAATCTGAGTGCGTTGTTTATCTCGTCTGACAGGTTACCTGTTAATGCTCACTTGATTGGATACCCTGGGGAGCCTGGCCAGTTTTTTGTAATGATAAATACTTAGTTCCTGAACCAGGTCACAGGCTCACCCTATTCATACACAGACATACCCTTAAGACAGGATTTGTGAAGGAAAAGGCAATGGGGAGGCTTTTCCATTTTCCTTTGACCTTGCAGAGAAAACATTTGGTCAGTTTGGGAATCAAAAATGGTTTCAGGTCGGTCTTCCTGTTCTGATCTATGTACGTGCTTGGTTGGTACATTTATGAACATTTATTATATATCCAAGAATTTAAAATTCCTATCACACTGGAAACCACAGAAGGGGAGGGGGCTCGGATCCTGCTCGGGGGTTTCCCATTGGTAGGCAGGCTGTATAGCCTTCCGGGTGCTACCACAACAACCATCCACCACAACTGCCCAGCTAGGCTAACTCTCCTCCAATCCTCTTTCCTGGGTCTCACAGTCTCCTTGCAGATGCCAAGGTCTGGGGCAAGAAATCTTTGGTGAGAGAACCTCTCCAGAGATCTAGCTGTCACAAAATATTCAGCATAAGAAAGCATGGAAATTTGGCTGTAAAACCTTTAAAAATATGTGTTTTCTAGTGAACCCCGAAGTATTCCCTAGTATTCCCTAGTGCACGGATAGACCACATGTTTGGTCAGCTATGAAACGGTTTACTTACAAAACTCTTCAAAGGTCAGATTCATGTGCTTTTCCGTACAGCAGTCATAAAAAGTTGCACAGGCAATAACACGTTTGTTGTTGTTGTTGTTGTTTAGTCGTTTAGTCATGTCCGACTCTTCGTGACCCCATGGACCAGAGCACGCCAGGCACTCCTGTCTTCCATAATAAAACATTACTTGGTAACAAAACGGTAAAAGTTCCTAAACTATCAGGATAGGAGGAAAAGGCTGGAGTTTCAGACTCCATCCTAGTCTGGAACGAAAGAGGCTGGTTAAAGCCATGCAGCTGGAGGGAGCAGGTCAGAGCTCCTCACGTGCCGAATCCACATGTATGCTGAGTACAACAAAAGGCTTCGTTGCCCATTTCCTCCCAAGGTGAGAGGAAGTGACATAGGCAAAGCCTGGCAGGACAGGTTACTCTATGGCGTTAACCCCTTCATGTGCTAACTAGACTCAAGCATGATGGCTATATGAGGCTGGTTATCCCCTCTCACCCCCCCCTTTGCCCTTTGCTTCTCTCTCCAGTTCCCAGGTCCAGCCTGTGCCACGAAACCTGCTCCCCGCACTGCCTCCGCCATGGCCCCAAGCCCCCCAACACAGGGGTGAAGGCCGCCTGCCTCCTGGTGGGGGGCGCCGCCGCTGGTCCCAGCATGGGTCACATGGTCAGCTCATCCACAGCCGGACCCCCTGAGGACCCCCACCCGCCGGACTTCAAGGAGCTGGGATACCACCCGTCGGCCTGTGATTCCGAACCGCACTACGAGGCGCCCCTGGATTACGACGGGATGGAGCAGGACTTAGACATGGTGGATTTTGGGGGGTTCGCCTTCTAGGCTCTGCCGTTGCCTGGGAGCCCCAAAGGGAGAGGTTTAAAGGGCTAAATCGCGGGCCTTCTAATCCGGAACTGGCAAAAGGGCATGCTCTGCTCCCTCCCTCTCCCCCAGGACTCGTTCGTCTGGCACCCCCTCACAGACATTTCCCACACATGCCCTTTGTTTGGAAAGGGTGGGGGTTCCTGCTTCAGAGATTTACCTCCTTTTCCTTCCCGCCCTCCCCATTTTTTTAAATAAGTATTTTTTATTGAAGGATTTTTAAAACCAAGGCAACGAAATACAGAAGAGAGTCATGGGATCTTCCGCAAAGAGAGTGGGGGAAAAATGAAGAGGCGTTCAACTGAGCACAAAGGACTTTTTCCATCAGGTGTGGTGGGGAGTCTAGAGCAAAAGGACTAAAACTAAGCATTGTGTAGCTACAAAACTACCACAAGGTTTGATCGTGAATTCTTACAGAATTAACCATGCCCATTTGCATTCGGCCGGGGTTTCTTGTCCATGCCTTTTGTCATTAACGTGAGCAATAAATCCACACCAAACTAGAAGAAAACTACTTTCTTTTTCTTTTTTTGCTCTGTCCTCTGGTGTGTTAACTTTTCTAACAGGTGCATCTCCCATCCTTTAAAGCACAAAGCAGCCAGGTCCACCTGCTTCAGATGTTTCCGGAAACGAGCTATAATGGCTCCAGTAGCAGTAAGAAGGTGCGAAATCAACCCTTTAAGCTCCCCGTTAAACAGATTTTGAAGGGCAGGTTGGGGGTATAGGAGAAACTTCCTTTCCAATGATCTTCCTGGTTTCTCTGAAAACTAGTAGCCAGACTTTCTTAACCTTGGTGCAGTGCCACCAGTGGTGGAGATAGGGTCCTGCTCTCTCCCTGTTTTAAAGTCTTTGTTATCAGGAGAGCTGTGGTCTGTAGCTGTAGGTTCCAGGTCATAAAGGGGTGCTTGGACCAAATCTCTGTCTCTTCCCCACCACAGCTAAAGAGTCCCTGACAGATAGCCATCCATCCTCTCTTTGAAAACCTCCAAGGAAGGAAAATTTGCCACCTTCTGTGGATTCCAAGGACCCTTCACCCAGCCTAAGATGCATAAAGGACATTCCACATTCCCTTTATTTTTTCTAGCTCAGGGCTTTCTAGCGCAGGGCTTCTATTCTGTATTCTGCTTAGGGCCAGCAGGCCAGTCTTTGCACAACAGAATAAAGGTAAAGGGAGCCCTGACCGTTAGGTCCAATCGTGGCCGACTCTGGGGTTGTGGCGCTCATCTCGCTTTACTGGCCGAGGGAGCCGGCCTACATGTGGCCAGCATGGCGAACCAGAGCAGCTCATGGAAATGCCGTTTACCTTCCCGCTGGAGTGGTACTTATTTATCTACTTGCACTTTGATGTGCTTTCGAACTGCTAGGTTGGCAGGAGCAGGGACTGAGCAACGGGAGCTCACCCCGTCGCGGGGATTTGAACCGCCGACCTTCTGATCGGCAAGTCCTAGGCTCTGTGGTTTAACCCACAGCGCCACCCGCGTCTCTCGCACAACAGAATAAATGCACACAAATCTGACATCGGAAATGGCAGTATCTGAAAAACCTTGCCTCCTCCCAGGACAACCCTCTGTTGCTGACCTCAGCGTGGCAGTTCTTGATTTCCAGGAAGAGACTCTAGCATCAAACTGCTGAATTGCAACCTTTATGGATGTTCGATTCTATTGCCTCAGGCTTACATTGAGATAATGGTTCCCTGTGTACTACTACAGCTATTGATTGACTTAGCAATGTTTGGGTGATTGTGTCATCGCTTATTAGCAATTACTGCTGTTGTGAAACATCACTAGACGCATCATGAACTTGACATAGAGTTGGCACACGTTCCATTGCCATTCTGCAGAAGCACATTGTGTGCAAAGCATACGTAGACGGGCCAATTGCAAATAACACGTAATGAACCTGTTTGCCTTTGAGACACCATGGGAATTCGTAGTTGTAATGCTTAATGCTCGTAAGATGTGCAGCGCTATGGGAGAACTGCTCAAAGGACATCAGATCTCTCCATAATTTCTCAGAACTTTACCATTAATATAGCATCCCTGGTGTGGAGATTGTGATCTAGAAAGAGCCTTTCTTTCCTAGAAAGACTCGTGACTGGGAGCAGCTGCCGACACCACATAACACCGGTCTTGAAAGACCTACACTGGCGGCAAGAAGCCTAGAATAAAATTTAAAATACCAACAGATGCAAAGGAAAGAGGTGGATTTGCCCTGCCAGACCTTAAACTTTATTATGAATCAGCAGCCTTTTGCTGGTTGAAAGAATGGCTACTTCTTGAAAACACTGACATTTTGGACTTGGAAGGTTTCAATAATGTATTTGGATGGCATGCATATTTATGGTATGATAAGGTCAAAGCACATAAAGCATTTAAAAACCACATTGTCAGGAAAGCGCTATTTAATGTTTGGTCAAGATATAAGGATTTGTTAGAAAATAAAACCCCAAAGTGGCTGTCACCAATGGAAGCGAAAGCCTTGAAAAAGGTCAATATGGAGGTCAAATGGCCGAAATATTGGGAAATTTTGGAACAAGATGGAGATAGACTGAAATTGCAGAGTTTTGAAAAACTAAAAAACAAAGTGCGAGACTGGCTTCATTATTATCAGATAATGGAGGCATTTAAATTGGACAGGAAAATTGGCTTCCAGGTGGAAAGATCCAAATTAGAAACAGAATTGTTAGAACCCAAAACTAAGAATCTGTCAAGAATGTATAACTTGCTGCTGAAATGGAATACTCAGGATGAAACGGTAAAATCGGCTATGATTAAATGGGCACAGGACGTTGGACATAACATTATGTTTGCTGACTGGGAACAGTTATGGACCACAGGTATGAAATTTACGGCATGTAATGCCTTAAGAGAGAATATTATGAAAATGATATACAGGTGGTACATAACCCCAGTCAAGCTTGCGAAAATTTATCACTTGCCCGATAACAAATGTTGGAAATGTAAAGAAACTGAAGGTACATTTTTTCACCTTTGGTGGACGTGCCCAAAGATTAAGGTTTTCTGGGAAATGATATATAATGAATTAAAAAAGGTATTTAAGTATACCTTCCCCAAGAAACCAGAGGCCTTTCTCCTGGGCATAGTGGGCCAAATGGTGTTAAAAAAGGATAGAACTTTCTTTATGTATGCAACAACAGCAGCAAGAATACTTATCGCAAAGTATTGGAAGACACAAGAACTTCCCACGCTGGAGGAATGGCAGATGAACTTATGGACTATATGGAATTGGCGGAAATGACTGGCAGAATCCGTGACCAGGGAGAAGAGTCGATGGAGGAAGACTGGAAGAAATTCAAAGACTATCTTCAGAAACACTGCAAAATTAAGGAATGTTAGAGTGATGTTGGATTGAAAATAAGTGGTTTCCAGCTGTACAGGTTAAAGTTAAGGATAGATTAAGATTAAAGGTTAAGATTAAAGATGTTTAAAGAAATGGAAATTTGATAATAAAAGGGAAAAATTTAAAGCTATATGACATTAAGAGTAAGGATTAGGTTTAAAAAAAAAGTTGAAGTTATATATTTTAACATTTTAACAAATTAAAGATTGGGATTAAAAAAGTGGAAAAGAAACTGCTGGACAAATAATGTGGATTGGAATACAAAAAAAGGAGGTATGAGGAAGTCCAGAAAATAAGTAATTTAAAATTGGAATGGAAAAGAGAGTTTGTTTTTAATTGTTATGTTCTGTTTTTATTGTTAAGTTTTGTATTGTTTTTTTTGTGTGTGTTGTTTTTCTTTTTTCTTTGTTTAAAACCTTAATAAAAAATTATTAAAAAAAAAGAAAAAGAAAGACCTACACTGGCTCCCAGTATGTTTCCGAGCACAATTCAAAGTGTTGGTGCTGACCTTCAAAGCCCTAAGCAGCCTCAGTCCAGTACAGTGGTACCTCTGGGTAAGAACTTAATTCGTTCTGGAGGTCTGTTCTTAACCTGAAACTGTTCTTAACCTGAGGTACCACTTTAGCTAATGGGGCCTTCCGCTGCCACCGTGTGATTTCTGTTCTTATCCTGAAGCAAAGTTCTTAACCCAAGGTACTATTTCTGGGTTAGCAGAACTCTGTAACCTGAAGCGGTGGCTTAACCCACAGCGCTACCCACGTCTCTACAATGCGTTTAAAACCAAAATCGCATTTGGGTAGAAACTGTTTCTCAGGTGGCTAGTCCTTGTCTTTATAACCCTGTACCTTCTTCCAGAAGGCAGAAGCTGAAAGAGATCATTTCCGGGGTGTGCATTATCCTGCGCTTTCTCTGCAGCTTTCTTATGGCACCTGGAAGCATAGATTTGATCCAAGGTGGGAAGAGTGCACCCAGTTATTCTCTCTGCAGTCTTTACAACCCTGGACAGCATTGTTTTTTCCCTGGCTGTGCAGGTCCCAAACCACACACACAGACCATAAGTTAATAACAGTACAATAGTAAAATGCCATCAACAGGTCCTTTGAGAGATTGTTTTTCCGGAGGAAGGGAGAGGATCCTTGCTTGCAGGTTTCCCACAGGCTTCTGTTCAGCCACTGTGAGAAGAGGATACTGGACTAGGTCAGGGGGACATGAGATGAAGACACCTTTGCAATAATAGTTTTCCCAGTAGCGATGTATGGAAGTGAGAGCTGGACCATAAAGAAGGCTGATTGCCGAAGAATCAATGCTTTTGAATTCTGGTGCTGGAGGAGACTCTTGAGAGTCCCATGGACTGCAAGAAGATCAAACCTCTCCATCCTTAAGGAAATCAGCCCTGAGTGCTCACTGGAAGGACAGATCCTGAAGCTGAGGCTCCAATACTTTGGCCCCCTCATGAGAAGAGAAGACTCCCTAGAAAAGACCCTGATGTTGGGAAAGATGGAGGGCCCAAGGAGAAGGGGACGACAGAGGACGAGATGGTTGGACAGTGTTGTCGAAGCTACCAGCATGAGTTTGACCAAACTGCGGGAGGCAGTGGAAGACAGGAGTGCCTGGCGTGCTCTGGTCCAGGGGGTCACAAAGAGTCGGACACGACTAAACAACTAAACAACAACAACAAGTGCCAATTTATTCTGAAATAAGCAGTTTATTTTAAACTCTTTACAAAATAGGCAGTATCATAAAAACACAGATATCGATTGCTGTCTTTAGCCTTCGTTTGAATACTGGGAAAGGTGTGTGCGTGGGCTGGGGCCAGGAGCATCTTCTAAAAGAAGAGCGGTCACACCACCAGACAGACCAGGGGTTAGGAGGAGACAGATCTGGACCTCCTGCAAGATCTCTGGGTGATTTGCAGCAGATCAAAAAAGCTTCTGACTCTCAGCTGTTCATGACCAGGGACTGGACCTGGCTATCTTTTGACAGATGTACAGAGACTTTCTGCCACAGGATTCTTGTTTCAGGCCTTCTTGGCTCACTTGCACACAGTCCTTATTAGGTTTATGTTTCAGAGGTCTGAAAGAAAATGAATCAACAAAGCAAAAAGGTGACAGCTTGCCTTGCCATTTGTAATGCTCACATTCTGAATTATCTGTAGTGACTTTGGAAGCCAGATTTGAGCATCTCCAAACAGCTCAAATGTGACCCAGATCAGCTGCCCTGGGCTCATCTCCACTCCCTCTGGCCCCATATCTATAAGGCCTGGGTCCAAGCAGTTTGCGAGAAGCAAAGCTACAGGGAACCAGGCAGAGGGCCTTCTCGGTAGTGGCGCCCGCCCTGTGGAACGCCCTCCCATCAGATGTCAAAGAGATAAACAACTACCTGACATTCAGAAGACATCTTAAGGCAGCCCTGTTCAGGGAAGTTTTTAATGTATGACATTTTAGTATATTTTTGGTCTTTGTGGAAGCCGCCCAGAGTGGCTGGGGAAACCCAGCCAGATGGGCTGGGTACAAATAATAAATTATTATTATTATTATATTATTATTTCCCACTTGCCCTGCGCTTTCTAGGCATGGGTCCAAGTGCCCCTGCCCCACCACTTTCCATGGGGAAAAACCAGCTCATTAGTGAGAATTTGGAGCAAACGTCAGTCCAGAGAAAACCGAAATGACATTTGCTCCGATTCAGCAGTAAATCCCTGGGGAAAAGTGGCCTTGCACGAGCAAGTTTGGATGAGCTCTTCCAGGGCCAATACTTATTTTCATACCCTCCAACATTTCTCCAATGAAAATAGGGACGTCCTATTACATCGTTGTTGTTGTTACCCCGTCCATCTGACTGGGTTGACCCAGACACTTTGGGTGGCTTCCAACATACAGCCGTAACTTGGTTCTCCAACAGAATGCATTCTGGGAGTCCGTTCGACTCCCGGAACCGTTCAAAAACCAAGGTGCTGCTTTCAATTAGCTGTAGGAGCGTCCTGCAGCCAATCAGAAGCCGTGCTGGACGTTCAGCTTCCAAAAATTGTTCGAAAACCAGGTTTCGGTCATTCGGGAACCGATTTGTTCAGGAGCCAAGCTGTTTGAGAGCCAAGGTACGACTGTATATAAAAACATAATAAAACATTAAACATTTTAAAAAAACCTTCCCTATACAGGGCTGCCTTCTGGTGTTTTCTAAAGGTTGCATAGTTATTTATCTCCTTGACTCTGGGGTTGCATAACACCAGACCCTCCAACATTTCTCTCTCCCCCCCCCTTCATTATAAATTTTTATTAGTTTTCCATTGATTATACATATATACAGTCTAGATTACAGAAGTTGCATATAACATAGCTGTTACAAGAATCATATATATAGTACACAGTTATTTTGGGCTCCGCCGAGCCTTGGACTTCCCTTCACTTCATGACCCTCCAACATTTCTCCATCAGTATGCAGATGACACCCAACTCTACCTCTCCTTTAACGCAGAACCAGTGAAGGCGGTGAAGGTCCTGTGTGAGTGTCTGGAGGTGGTTGGAGGATGGATGGCAGCCAACGGATTGAGGCTGAATCCTGACAAGACAGAAGTACTGTTTTTGGGGGGGGACAGGGGGAGGGCAGGTGTGGACAACTCCCTGGTCCTGAATGGGGTAACTGTGCCTCTGAAGGACCAGGTGCGCAGCCTGGGATTCGTTCTGGGCTCACAGCTGTCTATGGAGGCGCAGGTCAGTTCTGTGTCCAGGGCAACTGTCTACCAGCTCCATCTGGTATGCAGGATGAGGCCCTCCCTGCCCGCAGTCTGTCTCGCCAGAGTGGTGCATGCTCTGGTTATCTCCCGCTTGGACTACTGCAACGTGCTCTACATGGGGCTACCTTTGAAGGTGACCCGGAAACTGCAATTAATCCAGAATGCGGCAGCTAGACTGGTGACTGGGAGCGGCCACTGGGACCACATAACACCGGACCTGAGAGATCTGCATTGGCTCCCAGTACGTTTTCAAGCACAATTCAAAGTGTTGGTGCTGACCTTTAAGGCCCTAAACGGCCTCAAAGGCCCAGTATACCTGAAGGAGCGTCTCCACCCCCATCGTTCAGCCCGGACACTGAGGTCCACTTCTGAGGGCCTTCTGGCGGTTCCCTCATTGCGTGAAGTAAGGTTACAGGGAACCAGGCAGAGGGCCTTCTCGGTAGTGGCGCCCACCCTGTGGAACGCCCTCCCTTCAGATGTGAAGGAAATAAGTAGCTATCCTATCTTCAAAAGACATCTGAAGGCAGCCCTGTTCAGGGAAGCTTTTAACATTTAACGCTGTATTGTTTTTAATACTTGATTGGGAGCCGCCAAGAGTGGCTGGGGAAACTCAGCCAGATGGGCGGGGTATAAATAAATTATTATTATTATTATTATTATTATTATTATTATTATTATTAAATGAAAATAGGAACGCCCTAAGGAAAAACAGGACATTCCAGGATCAAGTCAGAAACTGCGACGGCTTCTGTGAACCTTGGACTGTCACTGGAAAAAGGGAGCACTGGGAGGGTATGTGATTTTGCACTGTGAGTTGTTGCTCCTTGGAGGCTCCCTGCAAATGGCCAGTGGGCCTCTGCGAGTCTGGCTGGGCATTAAAAGGAGGCAGAACCACATCATCATCATCATCATTTATTATTTATACCCCGCCCATCTGGCTGGGTTTTCCCAGCCACTCTGGGCAGCTTCCAACAGAATTTTAAAATACAATAACCTATTAAACATTAAAAGCTTCCCTAATCAGGGCTGCCTTCAGATGTCTTCTAAAATTCTGGTAGTTGATTTTCTCTTTGACATCTGGTGGGAGGGCGTTCCACAGGGCGGGTGCCACCACCGAGAAGGCCCTCTGCTTGGTTCCCTGTAACTTGGCTTCTCGCAGTGAGGGAACCGCCAGAAGGCCCTTGGAGCTGGACCTCAGTGTCTGGGCAGAATGATGTGTTACGTTCTGCTTCTTAGCAAGCGGCAAACAGCTTGGTGCTTCTCTACTTACCCTGAATAGTGTGAATTATCCACCCATTCCCTTACTCCTCTCAGCCCAATCCAAAATGGCGTTGAACGCAGAGAGTTCTAGAGTTAGGAGAAGAAGCAAAGCGTTGGAGTCCTGAATGACCAGCCTCACGCCATGTCTACTGAGAGAGGGGGCTGCTAGTTTGATGGCTGGGTGGGAGCGCCTTCTTCCAAGGGGCTCACTCAATTTCCCTCTCAGCGGGGCCACATCAGGAAGACAGCTGAGGGAAACCGTCCCTCCCCACAGCCGCCCCAAAGACAAGAGGGCCATTGTTGAGGTCCCACAGAGCAATTTGCTGCTGTCTGTTCGGCTACTTAACGCGGTCTCTATAGGAGTATATTTCCTGCCAACCTAGCAGTTCGAAAGCACATCAAAATGCAAGTAGATAAATAGGTACCGCTCCGGCGGGAAGGTAAACGGCGTTTCCGTGCAGTGCTCTGGTTCGCCAGAAGCAGCTTAGTCCTCCTGGCCACATGACCCGGAAGCTGTACTCTGGCTCCCTCGGCCAATAAAGCGAGATGAGCGCCACAACCCCAGAGTCGTCTGCGACTGGACCTAATAGTCAGGGGTCCCTTTACCTTTTTATAGTAGTATATTGTATTATAAAATGGGGTTTCGGAGTTTTTAGGGGTTTTTGAATGTCTTATGTAGATTTTTCAATTTCATTGTTCTGTATGGGACAATGACAATAAAGATATCATATCATATAATAACATGTCATATCATATCATACTTTCCTGGGGTTAGAACTGTAGGGAGAGAGAACGCGTTTCCTGCTCTGGGACAAGAGAAGCCACAGGACAGAAGTCTCGAAAATAGCACATCCTTATCACACCCCTTATGATATACGATATCTTTATTGTCATTGTCCCATACAGAACAATGAAATTGAAAAACTACATAAAACATTCAGAAACCCCTAAAAACTCTGAAACCCCATTTTAAAATACACTATGTTGTTGTTGTTGTTTAGTCGTTTAGTGGTGTCCGAATCTTCATGACCCCATGGACCAGAGCACGCCAGGCACTTCTGTCTTCCACTGCCTCCCGCAGTTTGGTCAAAAAATCCCCTTCATGGATCACTGCCCCTTCATGGATCACTTCATGGACCACCTCGCCGTGGCGAAGGGGCTTGAATAACTCAGAGAAGCTATGAGCTATGCCGTGCAGGGCCACCCAAGATGGACAGGTCATAGTGGAGAGTTTTGACCAAACGTGATCCACCTGGAGGAGAAACTGGCAAGCCACTCCAGTATCCCTGCCAAGAAAACTCCATGGACAAAGACAACAGGCATATAAAAAATACACTATACTATACTATAAAATACACTATACTAAAAAATACACTAAAAATACACTTAAAAATACACTATACTTGCTTCATTTCGCAGCTCTCGCAGGCGGCAAGGAGGAGTGACATAAAGGGAAAAAGCAGGAAGGCAGGGGCCCAATCCTGCTCTGATCTGCAGTCAGTCTGCATCCCTCAACAGACGGCCCCAAGAGAGGTGGCAAAGTTGCAGCAGGGTCCCTTCCGCTTTTTAAGATTGGCTGTGAACGCCACATTTCCCTCGCCTTTCCCCTTTCTGTGCTGCGAGCATGGAGTGGCCTTCAAGTTCCCCCTTCAGGATTGACGGTGGAGCCCCTCCCTCCCTCACCCCACCCATTAGGCCATGCTACCCTTTTTCAACAGACCATTAAGACTTGGGAACGCTGCAGCTCCTCAGCACTCCAGGGATCTCTCAAAACAAGCAGCAGGGATTCCTTCTTCACACAGTCAGTCTTGCTTTCTGCCCAAGTCCTCTTTTCTGTTGAAACCCACAGGCATTTCCATCGAAAGAGCTTCCACTGAGGGGGGCAGCAGCCTGGGAAGAAGACACAAAGGGCCAGGAGAGGGTCTTGGCTACAGCTCTTCCCAGCTGGGCTCAGGGCACCTCAGAGACCCCCCAGCCAATGGGGTGAGATCCTATTTGTTCAGAGGCCACAAGCTCCAGAAGTTGGTCTGTGCTACGTCTGCAGGTTGGCAGGGCTCGTTTGGGAACAATTATGGACTCATCCGGGACGTCGGTGGCGCTGTGAGTTAAACCACAGAGCCTAGGACTTGCCGATCAGAAGGTCGGCGGTTCAAATCCCCGCAACAGGGTGAGCTCCCGTTGCTCGGTCCCTGCTCCTGCCAGCCTAGCAGTTTGAAAGCACATCAAAGTGCAAGTAGAGAAATAGGTACCACTCCGGCGGGAAGGTAAACGGTGTTTCCGTGCGCTGCTCTGGTTCGCCAGAAGCGGCTTAGTCATGCTGGCCACATGACCCGGAAGCTGTACGCCAGCTCCCTCGGCCAATAAAGCGAGATGAGCGACGCCACCCCCGAGTCGGCCACGACTGGACCTAACGGTCAGGGGTCCCTTTACCTTTACCAGCAATATGGAAAGATTCCTTAGTTTGGCAAGCACTAGTAAAAGGAGGGGAATCTCCCATTGCAGTGGGGGCAGAACAGGGGAAACTCATTCTGGTGATTCACGAACCCCAACCCAGCGCAAGTGGGGATTCCGCCCCCCCGCCCCCCCGCAGAAAGAATGTGGTTGGTCAAGGAAGCTGTGGGCTCAAAATGTTGAAAACCAGTGTTCCAGGGGATTCTGGTAAGTAAAACAAAGGAGTGGTGGCCATTAGGGAGAAATCAGCAGCTAAGAAGAAATGAACAAATGGCAGTTTTGACAACAAAAATGAAGGCAGAGACGCAGCTCATTGCCCACATTTGCTAGAGCATCAGAGCATGAAGAGCGCTCAGCTGCCGTCACACAGACAGCGCAGGAAGTGTGAGCACATGTCTTTTGCGTGCAGGTTCTGCTGGGCAAGGATCACCCCGTTACGGGAAAATTAATAAAATTGTCCTAAATATAGTGCGCCTAATGAGTGCATCATCCGCATGTCTGAAATAGTACGTGGTGCAATGCAGCGGCCATGCATATGTTAGGGTTTTTATCTATCTGAGCTGCTCCAGCGAGTGGTACTGCTGTAATGTGTTTTGTATACATCATGTGAGTGTCTGAGTGAGAGTGAGACAGGAAGTCTGAGTATGGTTGGAAGTTAGTTTCACTTCTGAAAGTGTTGCTGTTCTGTAGTGGGACGTGGGTGGCACTGTGGGTTAAACCACAGAGCCCAGGGCTTGCCGATCAGAAGGTCAGTGGTTAGAATCCCCGCGACATTGCTCGGTCCCTGCTCCTGCTAACCTAGCAGTTCGAAAGCACGTCAAAGTGCAAGTAGATAAATACAGTGGTACCTCGCAAGACGAATGCCTCGCAAGACAAAAAACTCGCTAGACGAAAGGGTTTTTTGTTTTTTGAGCTGCTTCGCAAGACGATTTTCCCTATGGGCTTGCTTCGCAAGATGGAAACGTCTTGCAAGTTTGTTTCCTTTTTCTTAACACCGTTAATACAGTTGCGACTTGACTTCGAGGAGCAACTCATAGAACTTTTTTGAGGTTTTTAAAGACTTTGGTGATTTTTGAAGCTTTTCCAAAACTTTCCCGACACCGTGCTTCGCAAGACGAAAAAAATCGCAAGATGACAAAACTCGCGGAATGAATTAATTTCTTCTTGCGAGGCACCACTGTAGGTACCACTCTGGTGGGAAGGTAAACGGCGTTTCCGTGCGCTGCTCTGGTTCACCAGAAGCAGCTTAGTCATGTTGGCCACATGACCCGGAAAAACTGTCTGCGGACAAACGTCGGCTCCCTCGGTGTGATGGCCTGGGATTCGGACTTGGATGCTGAACCTGAGGAATCCCAGCCTGCACAGGAGTCCCGCCTCCAGAACCAGCTGAGCTGGGGCATGAGCCTGAAGGGTCCTCACCTGTGCTGGATCCTCAGGTGCAGGCACTAACTGCGTCTGCTCTGGCTCCTGAGGTGATGGAGGACCCATTACCTGCAAGTCCTCCACTCTCAGCCCCGTCAGAGGAAGCTGAGGTTGCCTCTGGGTCCAGTAACCCTCCAGCCTCTCCTGAGCTGCAGAGGCTCAGGGCAGAGAGGCGGAGGGAACTAAGTTCCCGCAGGAGGAGTGCTCGCCTCCAGGCCAGGAGAGGCGAGTCACTTGTGGACCGGGGCCGCCCTATGCCTCGGGGCAGATAAAAGCCAGCCAGCCCCAGTCCCAGGTTGCGGGAGCAATGTTGTAGGTTGCAGTTCCTACCTGAACCCTGTCCTGCGTCCCTGACCTCACCTGACTCCCTGCGCTGCACCCAGCTCCAGCTTTTACGGACTGCCTCCATATTGCACCTTCGACCTTACTGGACTCGGACCTGGTTTCTTGGTTGACCCATGGGACCAGCACACTCGGCCTGTAAAGCGAGATGAGCGTCGCAACCCCAAAGTCGGCCACGATTGGACCTAATGGTCAGGGGTCCCTTTACCTTTACTGATGCTCAAAGAGCACAGATGTGCTGATGGAGTCTCTGTATTATAGACTGTAAACAAAGTCGTTTTAGAGCTACTGGTTGACTTTTTCTTCTGCAATGATATGCCAGAAGACGAGTGTGCTCCTCTCAGGAGAGCGGGGTCGCTTATCACCAGTGTCTCTGGACTCAGGGAGATTTACAGCCAGGGAGGACCACCGGAGAGATGCCCCGATGACTTGGGAAGTTGGCAGCCTTCCTGGGGGTGTTTCCAACCTCTCAGAATCCTAGAAGGGGCCTCGAGAGTCATCCAGTCCAGCCCCCCTGCAAGGTCACATTGGCTCCTCGAGCCCCATAAGAGGAAACTCTTGCTGAATTTCCCGTCTCAAACTGGCCAGTAGAGGCAATGAGGAGGTAACCGAGAAAGTTAGGGAAATGTTTCTGAAGGTAATGGCCGTTTGACAGTGGAACAGACTCCCTTGGGAGGTGGCGGACTCTCCTTCCTCGGAGGTTTCTAAAGAGAGGTTGGACGCTCATGGATTCTTTAGCTGCGATTCTTGCATCGCAGGGGTTTGGACTAGATGATGACTGGGGGTCCCTTCCAACACTACAACTCCATTGAAATAAAAAATTTAAGGTCATATATATATATATATATATATATATATATATATATATTAAATGTTCATAAATGTACCACCAAGCAAGCATGTACATACATATAAAAATATATATATATATAAACCACATGTCTGAAGCAGCACAGGAAAACAGCCCTGAAACCATTTTGACTCCCAAACTGACCAAATTATTGCTCTGCAAGGTCGAAGGAAAATGGAAATGCCTCCCCATTGTCTTTTCATTCACAAATCCTGTCTTAAGGGTATGTCTGTGTATGAGTAGGGTGATCCTGTGACCTGGCTCAGGAATGAAGTACAGTGGTGCCCCGCAAGACGAATGCCTCGCAAGACGGAAAACCCGCTAGACGAAAGGGTTTTCCGTTTTGGAGGTGCTTCACAAAACGAATTTTCTATGTGCTTGCTTCGCAAGACGAAAATGTCTTGCGAGTTCCTGCGGGGTTTTTTTCCTTCCCCCCCCCTTTTTCCCAAGCCGCTAAACCGCTTATCAGCTGATGGCTAAGCCGCTTAACAGCTGATGCTAAGCCGCTTATCAGCTGATCGTTAAGCCGCTTATCAGCTTATCGTTAAGCCGCTTATCAGCTGATCATTAAGCCGCTTATCAGCTTATCGTTAAGCCGCTTATCAGCTGATCCACTAAGCCCGCTAAGCCGCTAATACAGTACTGTAGCACTAATCCGCTAATGGGCTTGCTTCACAAGACGAAAAAACCCGCAAGACGAAGAGACTCGCGGAACGGATTCTTTTCGTCTTGCGAGGCACCACTGTATTTATCATTACAAAAGACTCGCCGGGCTCCCCAGGGTATCCAATCAAGTAAGCATTAACAGGTAACCTGCCAGACAGGAGGTAAACAATGCACTCAGATTTCCATTGTAGCCCGCCTTTTCTGTGATGTAGGTATGATGTATCTGGGATGGTGGTCTTGGGTTACACCCATTCTGTGATGTATGTACGATGTATGGAGGGGTGGTCTTGAGCTCCAGGGCAGGGAATTTATATGTCTATATGAGGGCGGGCACACCTTGGTTCGGGGTTCCTCCTCCTTTCCTGCTTGCGAGGGGAGCACCCTGTTGCAACAAATCAATAAAGACCAGGCTTACTAGCTGCTTTGCTTCAAAATATTCTCTGCTTGGCCTCTGTTATTTTCTTCGACCGATGGAGAACCTGCAAAGGACTCTATAAGGGCTCTTGTGTCCCCCATAAGGGAGCATAGCTGTCAACTTACAGATTTGAAAATAAGGGACCAGCAGCCTCAAAAATAAGGGATCAGCAGCCAAAATAAGGAATTTCAGTCAACCAGCAGCCAAACGAAGCCTCAAGTGGTGGTTCCCACAGCACAGCAACCCGGCATAGGGAATGCAGCAAGGAAAACCACCGTCAGCTCTCCGCTGGGAAGCGCTGAGCAAAGGCCCCAGGCAACGCGGCCGATTTAATCTGCACAAGGCATGCAAGCTCCACCCCTCAGTCGTTCTCAGACTCCATAGTGGGTGAGCAACACAGCCAAGCAACACAGTTGGAGCCTCCCTCCTCCCTGGCCGGCAGGGAGGGAGGGAGAGGAGCTGCTGGGAAACCCGGGAAATTGACATCATCAATCCAGGACAGCAGCGGGAAACGGCGCTGAGATAAGGGAGTTTCCCACCAAATAAGGGACGGTTGACAGCTATGTAAGGGAGTAAGGGCAGATTTTTGTCTATTACACCATGATGCCCAGCGGCAGCGATCAGCAGGGGTGGAAAAAGGGGCAAACTGGACATACCGATCTGCTGGCAAGATCTGGCGTGCGTCAGATTGGTCTCCATCTCCCGGTTCTTCTCTTCCAGTCTGCCGTGGTCCTGATGCAGGAGGGTCAGGTTGCTCTGTGCTCGCCTCAGCTCTTCCCCGGCGCGTTTGAGCCTCTGGGCCAGGGCGCTGCTGTTTGCGGCATGGGCTTGGGAAGCCTCGCCTAGTTGCCGGGAGACCTGCCAGTCTGCAAAGCACAGGGGAGGGAGATGACCGGGGGCCAACAATGCCGTTCCCTTGGGGGCTCTGGGCTGGGCTGCAGGCAGCAGGGCAGAGAGGCTGGATTACCGCAATGCGCTCTCTGTGGGGCTTCCCTTGCGTTTGATCCAGAAGCTGTGGTCATTGCAAAATGCCGCACCACAATTGCTAACAGGTGTGAGGCCCCGTCGGCTTAGGAAGTTTTACAGTGGTGCCCCGCAAGACGAATGCCTCGCAAGACGAAAAACTCGCTAGACGAAAGAGTTTTCCGTTTTTTGAGTCGTTCCGCAAGACGAATTTCCCTATGGGCTTGCTTCGCAAGACAAAACGTCTTGCGAGTTCTTGCGAGTTTGTTTCCTTTTTCTTAAAGCCGCTAGGCCGCTAAGCCGCTAATAGCCGCTAAGCCGCTAAGCCGTTAATAGCCGTGCTTCGCAAGACGAAAAAACCGCAAGACGAAGAGACTCGCAGAACGGATTAATTTCGTCTTGAGAGGCACCACTGTAATCTGATTCTTTAGTTGATTCTAAAGAATCACGCAAGAAAAATTGACGGACTATGCAGAACTGGCAAAACTGACATATAAGCTACGGGACAAGCATAACTGTGACTTTAAGGATGAATGGGAACCCTTTACAAACTATCTGAAGACGCAACAAAGTGAATTGGACTCCTTGGCAGGTTTTGAATAAACATTCACAAACTTTTTATTGATAATAATCAGCTAAATAGTTTGAGGATCTATAAAACTTTGTAACATGCAGAAAAGCAGCAGTCTCAGAGAAACCAAAGACAGGAACTGAGGGAGGTCGGGGGGGGGGGGTGGGTGGATTTTGTGGGAGGGGGAGGGAGGAAAAATGGGGGGGAAATGGGGGGAAAAACAAGGATGATATGTTTTTGGATAATATGCCTTGTTTTAATTTTGAATAAAAGAACTAAAAAGGAAAGGAAGTTTTAATCTATTTCGAGTATTTTAACTGTTTGTATGTTTCAAAGTATGGCTTTGAATTTTTTCTTGTTTTTCTTGTTTTTGGATTGGTTTTTTTTTAAAAAAAACCAATACAGCAGTATATAAATTTTATGAAATAAAATAATAAATAAATCCCCACTTGAAGGCCATGAAGTCTACTAGGGTTGACGTTGGGCCAGTCACTGCCTCTCAGGTTGAAAGTTTTAAATCACTGCTGTTAATTTTTCTTAAGTGGTAGCTGGATTGTGTCAATTTTTGTAAACCCCCTTTGAGGTTGGGGGGCAGCGGGGGAGTGTTTTACAGTTGAGCGATGCATACATTTTATAAAATAAAAATAAATAAAGACACACCCAGAGCTGTTTTTGAAGAAATCCTCAGTTAGGCTATGTGAATTTGCAATTTCCCACCTCTCCCATTCCCCTGGAGGGGAAACTGCTGGAGGCTGGAGGCTAGCTGCCTCTGAATACCACTTAGCTGGTGTATTTAGTTCCCACCTACAGTCTTCTTCCCACCCTGTCTATCTGACTGACCACTGTGCAAACAAGATGTTGGACTTAGATGGACCACTGGCTTGACCCAGCAGCCAGGCTCTTCCTATGGAGGGCTATTGAGAAAGCAGAACCTCCATGCCCAGGCACAGTCTACCTCTGAATACCAAATAATGGGGATCAACAGTTGGAGAAGACATTCACACTCAGGACCTGCTCTGGGGCCTCCCTTTCGGGTACATGGCAGTCCACCGTGTGAATGTTTGGCCTCGCCCAGCCTGAGAGCTCTTTTTAGATATTGGTGCTCTCATGGGAACATGGCTGCTACTGAGCACCAATGCTAGCAGAGCTCCAGTGGCAGGTAAATATTTGAGCAGGCATTTGGCCTCTCTTGGCTCGTGCAGTTACGTTCTCTGTACATTGCTTGCTTCAACACCGGTGATCTTTGCTTCTTCCAGTACACTGATATTAGCTCACCTGTCTTCCCAAGTGATGTGCAAAATCTAAAAAAATGTAGTATAAACACCAACAACCAGGAAAAACTGGCCTGCGAGCGCTCCAGCTGGAGAACAGCCTTTACCAAAGGTGTCATGGGCTTTGGAGACACTCGAACTCAGGACGCAAGGGAGAAACGTGCTAAGAGGAAGGCACACTTGGCAAATCCACACCATGATCAACTCCCAGAAACCAATGTCCCCACTGTGGAAGGACGTGTGGATCCGGAATTGGCCTCCACAGTCACTTGCGGACTCATTGTTAAAACCGTGTTTATGGAAGACAATCTGACTCGGCTACGAGGGATTGACAAAGAAGAAGAAGAAGAAAGAAGAAAGAAGAAGAAGAAGAGGAAAAGGAAGAAGAAGAAGAAAAAGAAGAAGAAGAAGAAGAGGAAAAGGAAGAAGAAGAAGAAGAAGAAGAAGGAGAAGGAGGAGAAGGAGAAGGAGAAGAAGATATTGCTTGATTCCACATCAGGCTGTGTTTCGGTTAAATACTGTGTTGCTGCAAGTTGCTCCTCATTCTGAGCCCATGTGAATCCTGAAGGTTACAAACAGTTTAAATAAATACTCACAACCGACTACGAATCCGACAGTGGTGGCAAAGAAGAAGAGGGAGACGGCCAGGAGGGCCACAGCTGCGTAGTAGGTTTGACGCCTCGGCCCTAGAAGAGAAACCCGAGGAGGGGATGAACTGTGGAACTCCCTCCCACAGGAGGCAGGAATGTCCAACTTGGATGGCTTCAAAACTGAGTTGGGAAAATTCGTGGAGGAGGAGGAGAGGGCTACCAAAGGCTCCTAGCCAAAGTGGCTCTGCTCAGTCTCCACAGTCAAGAGGCAGGAAATGATTCTGAGTCCCAGTTGTTGGAAATTGCAGGAGGGGGAGAGATCCTGCTTCCTGGTTTCCCTTTGGTGCAACTGGTTCTTAAAAGAGGTCTTATGGCTACCTGCCAGGGATTCTCGAGTTGTGATTTCTGCAAAGCAGGGGGTTGGACTGGAGGACCTTTGGGGGGAGCCACCTTTCAAATCTACAATTCTATGATCCCTCCCCTAATAATAATATAATTTATTATATATACCCTGCCCATCTGGCTGGGTTTCTCCAGCCACTCGGGGCGGCTCCCAACAGAATATTAAAAACACGATAAAACATCAAGCATTAAAAACTTCCCTAAACAGGGCTGCCTTCGGATGTCTTCTAAAACGCTGTGGGTGGGGGGGAAAGGGAAGAGGAACCACGGATCTGAATCTCCAGAACAAAGCAGCTCACAGCAATATTAATGAAACACCATGCTGTTTCCAAATTAGAACTATGAAAAGGAATGCATTTGTGAGGGGCAGGGAGAGGAGGACACTGAATATAATAATAATAATAATAATAATAATAATAATAATAATAATAATAATAATTTATTATTTATACCCCGCCCATCTGGCTGGGTTTCCCCAGCCACTCTGGGCGGCTTCCAATAAAACACTAAAATGCAATAACCTATTAAACATTAAAAGCTTCCCTAAAGAGGGCTGCCTTCAGATGTCTTCTAAAAGTGTGGTAGTTATTTTTCTCTTTGACATCTGGTGGGAGGACGTTCCACAGGGCGGGTGCCACTACCGAGAAGGCCCTCTTCCTGGTTCCCTGCAACTTGGCTTCTCGCAGCGAGGGAACCGCCAGAAGGCCCTAGGCGCTGGACCTCAGTGTCCGGGCAGAACGATGGGGGTGGAGACGCTCCTTCAGGTATACTGGCCAGCGGCCTTTAGGGCTTTAAAGGTCAGCATCAACACTTTGAATTGTGCTCAGAAACGTACTGGGAGCCAGTGAACTCAGCAGCAAAACAGAGAAGTGTACAAGAAACCTCCTATGTATGCAGAACATTTAGTTCCTAAGAGTTCAGAAGCAGACACTGTTGTTATGCTTTTATTTGAAAGATAACCTACCACCCTCCCTTTCCTAAATGATAGCCCAAAGCAGCAAACAGCATCACTACCGGAATAACTAAATCATTAAACACAAGAATTGCCTTCTGGGTCAAGCCCATCTAGTACTGCAGACACTTCTTTCATTACCCAAACGTTCCAGGGAGGGTAACAGCAATTAGAGAACAATATTTAAAACAAACTACAGTCACACAAAAAGGGATGCGGGTGGCGCTGTGGGTTAAACCACATAGCCTAAGACTTGCTGATCAGAAGGTCGGCAGTTCGAATCCCCACGACGGGGTGAGCTCCCGTTGCTCGGTCCCTGCTCCTGCCAACCTAGCATTTTGAAAGCATGAAGGTCAAGTAGATAAATAGGTACCGCTCCGGCGGGAAGGTAAACGGTGTTTCCGTGCGCTGCTCTGGTTCGCCAGAAGCGGCTTAGTCATGCTGGCCACATGACCCGGAAGCTGTACACCGGCTCCCTCGGCCAATAAAGCGAGTTGAGCGGCGCAACCCCAGAGTCGGCCACGACTGGACCTAATGGTCAGGGGTCCCTTTACCTTTTAAGGACTCATCCGCACTACCCTTTTGCCCCTCACTTCCTAGGCAGAATTTTTCCAGTTCGTGTCCAAGTCACTTCTCCCCCAGGAAAATCCACTCTTTAATACGGAATTGGAACAAATGGCAATTCGGGTTTTCCAAAGATTGTTGTTTGCACCGATCCGTGCACTGCTCTGGTTCGCCATAAGCGGCTTAGTCATGCTGGCCACATGACCCGGAAGCTGTACGCCGGCTCCCTCGGCCAATAAAGCAAGATGAGCGCCGCAACCCCAGAGTCGGTCACGACTGGACCTAATGGTCAGGGGTCCCTTTACCTTTACTTACAGTCACACAAAAATAAGGTGGGTCCTTAAAAACACACACAGCCAGGGTCAAAAGCCAGGGGGAAGAGGTGTGTCTTCAGCATCCTCTGGAAGCTGTGCAATGAGGGTGCCACAGCTTAGGGGCCGCCACAAAGGAGGCCCTCTCCTGCTGGACCACCCCAGAAGCCTCCGAGGAGAGAAGAACCACCAAGAGGGCTCCCTCTGCCAATCTCAACACCTGAGAGGGTCTGCAGGTAAGGAGGTGGTTTTTCAAGCATCTTCCACCCAGTCCTTACTGGCAGGAGGTCTCCCTGGCAGGGGCAAGACCTACCTCACCAGGGCAATACTCAGCACTCACCTTTTGCAGGCTCTAAGCTGCTGGGGGCCTTTTCTTCCTCAGGCCTGGCCCCCTGGACGTTCTCGTAGGTGAGCTCCTCCTCAGTTGTCTCTGGAAAAGGAGATGGGAGTGAGCAGCAAACTTTGCCGTAGTACTGAAAAAGCTGCAAAGCCGTTGGGAGGTTTGGACAGACAGACAGACAGTCTCGCAGTACCTTGCCGCTGGATCTTCTCCAGAGGAACCTTCCCGAATCTCAGGTCAGCGTAGGTCACATCCTGAGACATCCTGGTGATGGGAGAACCCGGGTCACTGTTCTCACGGCACCCAAGAGTGACTTATGGTACTTTGGAGGGAAGTCACTTGGTCTCTGCTGAAAAGGGGTTTCGTCGTCACTGGTTCCAGTAAGCAGAAGTTTGTGGAGACCAGGTGGAGTCAGCCATGCATGAGTAAAAACCCTCCCTTGACTCTGCTGATGTCATTTGAGAAGTGAAAGTCTTCTCTCATCTCTAACTTTCTCTTCACTTCTGTTTCCCTGGGGGCAGCAGAAGGCTGCTGAGATTGGCAAGTGATTCCTCCGATGTGTAGTTTTTGAGATGTGCTGTAGAGTCTAAGAAGAGCTTGCTTTGGGCAAGAGATGTTGGACACCATATAATGCTGGAAGATTGGGAAAAGCTGTGGAAGAAAGGGATTAAGTTTACTGCATGTACTGTGTTAAAAGAAAATATTATGAAAATGATGTCTAGATGGGTGGTACTTAACCCCGGTGAAATTAGCAAAGATCTATCATACAAATTAGCAAAGATCTATCATAGGGACACCGGTGGCGCTGTGGGTTAAACCACAGAGCCTAGGACTTGCCAATCGGAAGGTCGGCAGTTCGAATCCCCACGACGGGGTGAGCTCCCGTTGTTCGGTCCCTGCTCCTGCCAACCTAGCAGTTCAAAAGCACGTCCAAGTGCAAGTAGATAAATAGGTACCGCTCCGGCGGGAAGGTAAACGGTGTTTCCGTGCGCTGCTCTGGTTCACCAGAAGCGGCTTAGTCATGCTGGCCACATGACCCGGAAGCTGTACGCCGGCTCCCTCGGCCAATAAAGTGAGATGAGCGCCGCAACCCCAGAGTCAGTCACGACTGGACCTAATGGTCAGGGGTCCCTTTATCCTTTACCTATCATACAAATGATAATCAATGTTGGAAATGTAAAGAAAAAGAAGGTACTTTTTATCATATGTGGTGGACATGTCCCAAGGTGAAAGACTTCTGGGAAAAGATTTATAATGAGTTGGAAAAAAATGTTGAAAAATACATTTATTAAGAAACCAGAAGCCTTTCTACTTGGAATACTAGGACTGGAAATGCCCCAAAAAGATGTTAGGCGGTTTTTGTATGCCACTACAGCGGCAAGACTTTTATTAGCCAAAAACTGGAAATCACAAGAAATACCAACAATAGAAGAAGAATGGCAGATGAAGATGTTGGACTTTTTGGAGCTGGCCGACCCGACTGGAAGAATCCGCAACCAGAAAGAGGAGGAGATACATGAGGATTGGAGGAAATGCAAAGAATATTTAGCTAAATATTGTGATATAAGATAAATAGAAAATTCTTGGAAATAATAAATAGGCTTAGGGGTAGAATAAGAATATGTGATAGTAAATATTAAGGATTAAAATATTAATAAAGGAGAGGAGGTTAGTAAAAGAAAGGAGTTAATATTATTAGAAGCATGAATTTGGAGAACTGTTATATAGGTGATATAACGAAATTCAGTTACAGGGGTTTTGAGGAAGTCAGTTATAAATGAAATGAGAATTAGGTATTTGAAGAAACAATTTTTCTTTGTGTTTAATGTATTGCAGTGTAATATGTTTTTCTTGTGTGTTTTGTTATGTGATTTTTGTGATAAATGTGGAAAATCAATAAAAAATTGGGGGTGGGGTGGAGAAGAGCCTGCTGGGCCAGGCCACTTGCCCATCTGCCATGGCATACTGTTCTCACAGCAGGACCCAAACACAGGAGCCTGTTCCCCTCCAACGGTGGAGAGCAGAGCACAGCCGCCGTGGCCAGTAGCCATCAATACCTTTCAACAAGCAGGATTCGAACACAAGAGTGCTTTCTCCCCTCTTGTGGCTTCCAGCAACTGGGATTCGGAAACATTGCTACTGCCTCAAACTATGGCAGCAGGGCAGAGCCATTTGGTTGGTAGCCGTCAGTAGCCCTCTCCTCCTCCATGAAATTCCCTTGTCCTCTTTTAAAGGATGCGGGTGACACTGTGGGTTAAACCACAGAGCCTAGGACTTGCCGATCAGAAGGTCGGCGGTTCGAATCCCCGCGACGGGGTGAGCTCCCGTTGCTCGGTCCCTGCTCCTGCCAACCTAAAGCACGTCAAAGTGCAAGTAGATAAATAGGTACCGCTCTGGTGGGAAGGTAAACGGCGTTTCTGTGCGCTGCTCTGGTTCACCAGAAGCGGCTTAGTCATGCTGGCCACATGACCCAGAAGCTGTACGCCAGCTCCCTCCGCCAATAAAGTGAGATGAGCGCCGCAACCCCAGAGTCGGCCACGACTGGACCTAATGGTCAGGGGTCCCTTTACCTTACTAGGTTTCCTCCCGTGCGAGGGGTTGGAATATGGAAGGGAACGAATCTGTAGATTAAAATTTAAACCTCCTGACCCACGTGTGGGAGAGACAAAGAACAAGCGACTGGGAAGCCTTTCAGCAGAGTAAAATATCGAGTGTGTTTTTCAGCTTATTAAAAAGCTTAGGAATATTATTGATTTGATTTGTATACCTCCCTTCATCCAAAGATCACAGGGCGGTTCACAATAGGCTATTATTATCTGTTGATATTTCCCACAGGAGGTTCTACAGTTTAACTATGCACGGCATGAAGTCCTCTTTCTTTAATCTGTCCTGAATCTTCCAGCATTCATTTTCATTTTCCACGATTTCTACTACTGTAAAGGTATAGGTAAAGGTAAAGGGACCCCTGACCATTAGGTCCAGTCATGGCCGACTCTGGGGTTGCGGTGCTCATCTCGCTTTCTTGGCCGAGGGAGCCGGCGTACAGCTTCCGGGTCATGTGGCCAGCATGACTAAGTCGCTTCTGGCGAACCAGAGCAGCACACGAAAACACTGTTTACCTTCCCACCAGAGCAGTACCTATTTATCTACTTGCACTTTTGACATGCTTTCGAACTGCTAGATTGGCAGGAACAGGAACCGAGCAACAGGAGCCCACACCATCATGGGGATTCGAACCGCCGACCTTCTGATTGGCAAGCCCAAGGCTCTGTGGTTTAACCCACAGCGCCACCCGCGTCCCTCTACTACTGTAAGAAAGGGACAAAAACCTTTCTCTACCATCTTTCTCTGTGCTATGCATCAGTTTATTAACTTCTATCATGCCACCACCTACTCGCCTTGTCTCTAAACTAAAAAGTCCCCAAAATAGCAACCTTTCCTCATAAGGGGAAGCCATCTTGACCATTTTTGCGGCCCTTTTCTAAAACCTTTTCCACCTCTACAATACCCTTTTGGAGGGGAGGCGACCAGAACTGTACGTGGTATTCCAAACGCAGTCACACCATAGATTGCATAATGGCATTTGGGAAAGTCATAGAAGAGTCCTTAAAATTAGGGATTAGATTACAATTGTGTACACGTTACTGGCAAAAAATGCAGGCTAGGTCATTTTCTGAGTTTGGATTGAAGCTGGTTGGGGGTGAAATCAAAATGCAGTATTTTATAAGAAACATGATAAAGATTGTGAGTAATGTGTGCAGTGTGTTTCCCAAACCTCCGATGAGAGCACACTGAATGCAGAGTAAATAGACTTGGTCCCAGATGGAGTTTCGGAACTGAGGCAAGTGCTTTTTGAGGTAAGTGCCTAGACTTTGGAATTCCCTTCCTAGAGAAACCAGGCTGGCTCCCTCCTCGCTGCCAATATCTTATTCCAACAGGCTTTTGGGGAATGACTGCTTGTAATGAGGCGACTGGTACCATGTTGTTTTTACTGTACTTTTTGTTTTTAGAAATCTTATCTCTGTCTCTATAAATGGTTTTAATTCTATTAATGTTTAATTGTTTTCTTAATGACTGGCTCTCCCCTTGATGCTTTTAGCTGTTCTTATTTTTATCTGTAAGGCACCTGGAATATAAATAAATATATACTAACAATAATAAATGTGGGGTGGAAGGAAAAAGCATTTGGGTTGCAGCATTTTGCTCTTTCTTGCGTGTCTAATCACAAGAGCAGTAAAAAAAGCAGACCTTCAGTTATTTCAAAAGCTTTTTTTTAAAAAAATAAATGTCTTGGCAACTTGCTGCTCCTCCCAGACGCAGGGGGGCTCCCTATGGAGGGAAAGAGGCAGGCAAGAGAGGGCCTCCTTCAGACCTATGAGTTACATTTATTTTATTCATTTATTATACTGCACGTCATCTGAAGATCAGAGGGCGGTTCACAACAATAAAGTACAAAACAAGAGAATGAAATACATAAAATAAAAGCGGAAGCAGACCAAGACCCCCCCCCCTTCCAAAACACATTTAGAAGGACATTGAATGTTAGCCAGCCCAAGGCCTGGCTTCGCATTTTGAGCATTTATAAGGTGCATTCTTTTACATTTAAAAAGATTGAAAGGAGAAGCAGAGCCTTTGTCGCAGTCCAAGCATTCTTACATCCTCACCACTTCATGGGTTCTCTGGTGTGCAATAAGCTGTGTGCTGAACTGGAAGCCCTGCTCACATTCCGAGCATTTAAAAGTCCTTTTGTTGGTGTGGACAAGTTGATGTCTAACAAGGTTTGATGGAGAGCTATACCCTTTACCACAGTCTGAGCACTTGTGCAGCTTCTCTCCTACGTGGCTTCTCTGGTGTGCAGTAAGCTGTGTGATAAGCTGGAAGCTCTGTTCACAATCCGGGCATTTGTAAGGCCTCTCTTCAGCGTGGATTTTCCGATGTTTAACAAGGCCCGACAGAGAAGTATACCTCCGATCACAGCCTGAGCACTTGTGAGGCCTCTCCCTTGTGTGGCTTTTCCAATGCACTTTAAGGCTGTTTCTGTAATAGAAGCTCTGCCCGCATTCTGAACATTTAAAAGGCTTCTCTTTCGTGTGGATTCTCCGGTGCACACTAAGGTTGGAATGAGAAGTATACCTCTTGCCACAGTCTGAGCACTTGTACGGCCTCTCCCCCGTGTGGGTTCTCTGGTGCGCCTGAAGGCTGGTGCTGTAATTGAAGCTCTGCCCACATTCGGAGCATTTATATGGCCTTTCTCCGGTGTGGGTCCTTTCATGCTCAATCAGCTTTGCCTTGTAACAGAACCCTTTCCCACACGCTCGGCACACGTACGGTCTCTCGGCAGTGTGGGTCACCTGGTGCACGGTAAGGCTCGACTTGCGCATGAAGCTCTTGTCACACCGCTCGCACTTATACGGGGTCTCCCCCGTGTGAATCCTCCGGTGGTCCGTAAGGGCGGAATTGCGCTTGAAGCTTTTCCCACACAGCTCGCACTTGTAGGGGGCCTCTCCCGTGTGCACCCTCTGGTGCTCCGTAAGGTTCGACTTGGATTTGAAGCTTTTCTCACACAGGCTGCACCGAAAGGGTCTCTCGCCCGTCTTCTGGGTTCTGCGCACGCCGCTCCCGTCCGCCTCTCTATGCTCAGATCCTGCTGGCAGCATCGCACAAGGTCCTCCTCCTTCGTGCATAGGATCGCCTGCCAAACCTCTGGCCCCCCCGTTTTCCTTCTGCGACTGCCTCTCTTCGAGGGAACACAGAGCCTGGCCTGCCTCTTCCTCCTCCTCCTCCTCCTCTTTTACTACCACCTGGAGGGAGCGCAGGACCTCTTCGAACCGCCCCGGTTCTCCCCTCCAGGCAGGATCCGAGGGGTCCGGGGCGCTGCTTCCCCCCAGGGAGAGAACATTGGCGTAGTTCTCCAGCGTGACCTCCTTGTACAGAGCCCTCTGCCACGGGCCCAGCAGGTCCCACTCGCCCGGGCTGAAGCGCACCGCCACCTCCGCGAAGGACACCCGCAGCCCGGAGCGGGACAGGGCAGGCCCTCCGGGAAGCGAAGGCTCCGACTGGGCCTCCTCGGGCGCCATGGCTCTCAACCCCGAAAAGCCTCTTTCCCCTCAGCTTCTCCCTCAGCGACGCTTCCGGCGGAAGCCCAACGCGGGCTGCCATAGAGGACGGGGGCTAGAGTGACTTCCGGCTCCGACTTGTGCCCATGGCGGCGCCCAGGTTGAAACCGGAAGTGGATACAAATTTGCTTTTTCCTGAGTCGGTTGACTGTGAGGGAAATAAATGTTTGAGAGGGTTTTTTTATACGTTTATTCTGGAGGCGGATTCGCCCCAGAGATAGGAAAAGCCTTGCCTGGCTTCTCCTTAACCATAGAGTTGGGGGCGAAGGCAGAGGCTAGAGCGCCCGGAAGAAGAAACATCCGGGTTCCTCTCGGGAACCGCCGGCCGCCGGAAGGAGCGGCCACGGCGTCGCCTAACGCGTTGCCCGCCCCGCGCCTCTTTCCGCTATTCGGATTAAATGCACTGGCAGCTAAAGAAGACTCGGTGGCCGCTCTGCGTCGGTGTCTATCGTCCGGGAGTCAGAACGAGCCAGCCGCGAGAACTGATGCGCATGCGCCTGAGCAGGTGAGTCCCCGCCGTCCAATCAAGAGGCAGAATTTATGATGGACGGGGCGAAGGGGAAGGGGCGGGCGTTTCCCCGTTACCATGGTGATTCTGACACGACCCAAGTTTGGAGGTCGTGACCCCCCCCCCAAATATCCCAATAATAAGCAACACAAAAATTGTAATTGGCAAAAGAGCAGAATGGAAGGTCCCTGCCTGCAAAGAGCTCACAGTTGTGGGCATTTGGAAGAGGGAGGCTGGGGGGGGGGAAGGCTCTCCTCCCAAAATATTCTGATTTTAATGCTTTTCTTTTTTATACTATTCCTGTCAAGGGTTTCCCATAATGAGGATCTGGTCGGCCACCTTGAGAGCAGGAGGCTGCACTGAAATGGGTCGATTCCTTGGCCTGATCCAGCAGCCAGGCTCTTCCTACACTCTAATGATCGCTGTTATCCCTTTGTTGTTGTTGTTTAGCCATTTAGTCATGTCCGACTCTTTGTGACCCCCTGGACCAGAGCACGCCAGGCACTTCTGTCTTCCACTGCCTCCCACAGTTTGGTCAGACTCATGCTGGTAGCTTCGAGAACACTGTCCAACCATCTTGTCCTCTGTCATCCCCTTCTCCTTGTGCCCAACATCAGGGTCTTTTCCAGGGAGTCTTCTCTTCTCATGAGGTGGCCAAAGTATTGGAGCCTCAGCTTCAGGATCTGTCCTTCCAGTGAGCACTCAGGGCTGATTTCCTTCAGAATGGAGAGGTTGGATCTTCTTGCAGTCCATGGGACTCTCAAGAGTCTCCTCCAGCACCAGAATTCAAAAGCATCCATTCTTCAGTAATCAGCCTTCTTTGTGGTCCAGCTCTCGCTTCCATACATCACTCCTGGGAAAACCAGAGCTTTAACTATACAGGACTTTGTTGGCAAGGTGATGCCTCTGCTTTTTAAGATTAGTCCATCTCTACCCTGCCTTTCCTGCAGCACAGAACTCAAGAGTCTTGATGGGGTTTTTCCCAGGCAGTGTCTCCTCCAACCACTCCAAATCACACCCAGACCTGTTTAGCTGGAGCAAAAGGGCAGGTTCCCTCATCCCATTCCCTTAGGGGCCCGTTGCTCCCATTTAATGGGTGAGAAAGCCGAGAGAACGGCCTGAATAAACGAACTGTGTCCGCTCAACAGGTCGGGTGGAGCCAAAAGCATTTCAGCAGTTTTCACCCACTCAAGACGAAAACACATTTGCCTGGAATGCAGAAAGCATTTAGTTGTCATAAACATAAACTTGTTTTCGTTGACCCTCTGAGATGCATATATAAACTATTGATTTATAATAAATAATAATAAATTTTATCTATATCCCGCCCTCCCCGGCCAGAGGTTCAGGGCGGCTAACACCAGTAAAATTACAGTAAAAACATAATGGGGGGGGGACCAATTTGAAATACAGGTTAAAATGCAATTTAAAATGCAGCCTCATTTTAAAAGTAGCCCATAGATCAAAACCATAAGGGGAGGGAAACATAATTCCTAGCCTGCCCCCCATGCCTAGGTCTGCTTCTCACATAAAATGACCCCCCCAATGATTCCTTCCTTGCAGGGGTTGGGCTAGATGACCCTGTTGCTCCCTTCTAACTCTGATTCTGTGCTTGAGAAATGGGTGTGTGGCTGGCGGGTAAGGTATTCCTTCTGGATTCTGGCAGCTGGTGAACATAGTGAAATAAGAGGAGAATCTTTCAGAGCTGTGCCGTGCCAGCTTTTAGCCTGCTGCTCTTGTAAAACACATGTGCTGCCATAGGGCTACACGCTGGCATCCCACAGCAGCAGGTGGAGAGACTGAGCAAGGCTTTCAGATGTACCTTCTTGACTCTTGCCAGGAACTGGAGACATGGAGCCCCCAGCATCTGAGAAGGCATTGGAAGGGAGGAAGAAGTTCACTGTGAAGATGGACGATGAAGACGTCGCTCCGGTACGACGGGAGGTTTTGGGTGAGGTTGTGAAGATCTCGCTTGGAGGACTATTTCCCCCCCCCCCAAAAAAAAATAATCTTACTGGACATCAGTTGGTTTCATGACCAGGAACGTCTGACCTCTGTAGTTCATGCACTGTAGTTCATGCAGACTGGATTGCTGCAATGCGCTCTGAGTGAGGATTCCCTCACACTTGTCCCAGAAGTTGCAGTTAGTCCAGAATGCTGCAGCATGGACCAGCTCACCTGCGAGATCACCTTACCCTACAAGTGCCCACTCAACAGCTTCGATCGGTGGAACTGGCCCTGTTACAGGCGCAACATAATACCCATTCCACATTTGTAAGAATGAAATATTTTAGTGTGGTGGCATCTACACTTAGGAACTCCCTGCCTAGGGATATCAGGGATATCAGGATATCCCTGCCCATGGATAGCAGGTGCCTTTGCTGAACTCTTTCCTGCACCTGCTAAAAGCATTTTTGTTCAGAAAAGCCTAGCCAGAGATGCAAAATGAGCATGCAGAATGTTTGGTGCATGTTTTAATCAGTTTTTGGTTTATTGCTGATTTTATAACGATATAAAGAGTTATTTTTACTGATAATTTTGTGGTATTATTCCCATTGTAAACCACTTTGAGCTTTGTTTGTTTTTATGAAATAGTCAGTAAATGATCTTCACTCGTATGCTCACACTGAAACCCAACACACGCACAGAGCTCCCTCCCTCACAGAAGCCACCATCTCTCCTCTCCAACAGAGCCAAAACAAATTTCTCAGTCACCCAACACTCTCTCCCCACCCTCTCCATTTCCAGGTGAAACTTCTTTTCAAACCCTCTTCTGCAGCCAAAGCCTCGCCAACCTCCGAGGCCCCAGTTGCGCCAGGGGGCGCATCGTACGCAGACTATGTCGTTGGACAAGTGGCGGCCTCCTCAGTTCCTCAGGTGAAGCAAGGAGCACCTGTTGCCACAACCACCGCCTCTGCTCTCCCAAGAGCGCCCCCTCCACATGGCGAAAACAAGAGCCTCCCTGTCGTGCAAAGCGCAACGGAAGACAGAGCACCCCCCTTGAACCCAGCGCCAAAGCCAGGAACCAAACACAACAGCATCATCGTCAGCCCCCGTCAGGTGAGAGAGGGGAGTGGGCAAGTGGGCAAGGGACTCCTCCTCCTCCTCTCTCAGCCCCTGCGCCTTTGGACAATTCTGCTGGCATTATGTGTTACCCAGAGGCTGCTCTAGAAAGGTCAAGCTGTGGTTGATTTCGAACAGAGCCCAGGGCAGTTCCGAAATCCCAAATGAACCATAGAATTGTAAGGGACTCCAAGGGCCATCTAATCTAACCGCATGCAATGCCGGAATCACAGCTAATGTGTGGAACCGACTGCGCTTACTGTATAAACTTCCATGGCTTTGCAGGAATTCCAATCCAGACCTCCTGAACTCAAATCCAGAAATTCTGTCCATTGGACATCCCTGCTTAGTTTCGCAGAGGGAAAAGCCCCAGACCCCACCTTGCTTGTAAACCGTTCTTCCCCCATCTTGGCAGCCTTCGAGGGGGCAAGGAGAAAGCACTTTGCACATGTTCAGAGACTACCTTCTCTGTATGAGCAGGCCAGGCATTCACAGCTTCTTCCAGGGCTGAGCCATCTGAAAGTGTCACGTGCTCACAGCTGTCAAGAAAACTGTTCCCGATGTCCATGTAAAAGGGCTTTGGCAGGAGGAGGCAAGATCTTTTGCCTCTCCTTTCTGGCCCCTTCCTTCTGTGTCTGCCTTCCCACTTTCCTCTCTCACTTACCCCACATTCTAGTTGCTTCTATGACCTCTGAAACCCTGACGCCCATTGACTCCCCACTTTACCCCCTTCTTTCCTCAGAGGGGGAACCCTATCCTGAAGTTCATCCGCAATGTGCCCTGGGAGTTTGGCGAGATTGTCCCAGATTACGTGCTGGGCCAAAGCACCTGCGCCCTTTTCCTGAGGTGAGAATTGGCAGACATGAGCGTCTGAGCACACCCCAAGCGGCTCAGGCAGCCTGCAAATCAAGCATTGAACCATATAGCATCTTTGCCGGGAAAGGGGTCTCTCCAGCAATGTAACATTTCACCTGTGCCCCGAGATTTGGCAAAGACCATTTAAAGGGCCCGGCAGCCTCTGCCACACAGCTGGTGCACCCCTTTTGACAAAATAAAACTTGCTCTGAATGGTTTCTTTTCTCTCTCTGCCACCCGCAGTCTCCGGTACCACAACCTGAACCCAGGCTACATCCACGAACGCTTGCGCCAGCTCGGAAAGACGTACATGCTGCAGGTGCTGCTGCTTCAAGTCGATGTGGTGAGACACCTTGAACCACCTCACCTCCTCTGACTCCAGCCCTCTCCTTCCCTCCGGCTCGGGCTGCCAGCTCCACAAAATCCGCCAACCCCTATTCTCAGTCCCTGGACCACAGAAGCCACTTCTTTTCAATCTTCTCTTTCAGTTTAGAGAAAAGGCAAGCAAGGTGTGTCAGGGTAGCTTATCAAATTATGCATGGCAAGGAGAAAGCAGGTAAGAGAGACGTTTTCTCTCCTAATGCTAGAACTCGTGGCCACGCAGCGAAGCTGAATGTTGGAAGATTCGGGACAGACCAAAGGAAGTCCTCCTTCACGCAGCAGAGTTAAACTGTGGAACTCACGCCTGCAGGAGGAAGTGAAGGCCACCAGCCTAGGTAGTTTTAAGAGGGTTGGACAAAGTCATGGAAGATAAGGTTATCAGTCTTGGCTCAGCTCTGGCTCCACAGCTGGAAACCTAAATGAAGGGAGAGGGGATCCTGCTTGTTTTATTTATTTATTTATTTATTTATTTTATTTATATTTATACCCCGCCCTCCCCAGCCAAGACCGGGCTCAGGGTGGCTAACAACCAGTAATAAAAACAGGTTGATTAAAATACAATTTAAAAAATAAGATTAAAATACAACATTAAAACATTAGGATGCAGCCTCTTCACAGGAGGAGAAAGGAAAAAGAAAGAGGGGGAGGGAATCAAGTTGATTCCAAGCGAAAGGCCAGGTGGAACAACTCTGTCTTACAGGCCCTGCGGAAAGAAATCAGATCCCACAGGGCCCTGGTCTCATGAGACAGAGCGTTCCACCAGGCCGGAGCCAGTGTTGAGAAGGCCCTGGCTCTGGTTGAGGCTAATCTGACTTCCTTAGGGCCCGGGACCTCTAGGGTGTTGCTATTTAAGGACCTTAAGGTCCTCCGTGGGGCAGACCGGGAGAGGCAGTCCCGTAGGTACAAGGGTCCTAGGCCGTGAAGGGCATTAAAGGTCAAAACCAGCACCTTGAACCTGACCCGATACTCCACTAGGAGCCAGTGCAGCTGGAAAAGCACTGGGTGAATATGCTCCCACCCATGGCAGAGACCCTGTGAGGAGCCTTGCTGCAGCATTCTGCACCTGCTGGAGTTTCTGGGACAGCTTCAAGGACAGCCCCATGTAGAGCGAATTACAGTAGTCAAGCCTGGAGGTGACCATCACATGGAACACTGTGGCCAGGGCGGGGCGGGAAAGGTAAGGGAGTAAGTTTCCCTTTGGAGTATATGTTTGGCCACTGTGAGAACAGGATGCTGAATTAAGCCCTTTGTGGCTTAGGGCCCTCGTATCTACGGGACCGCCTCTCCTGGTCTGCCCCACAGAGGACCTTAGAGTCCACGAATAACCACAGTTTAGAGGTCCCGGGCCATAAGGAAGTCAGACTATCCTCCACCAGGGCCAGGGCCTTCTCACTGATGGCTCCTACCTGGTGGAATGCTCTGTCCCATGAGACCAGGGCCCTGCAGGATTTAGCCTCCTTCCACCGGGCCTGTAAGACAGAGCTATTCTACCTGGCCTTTAATTTGAATTCAGCCTGATCTTTTATTTCCCTTCTCTTCCCTCCCCTTTTATGAAGATCACCTGCTCTGAGACCCCACAGCTAATTCTCCCCTGGCCTCCTCGCTGGCCCAAGTAGGACCAATTCAGCCAGCTAGCCCTGGGGATTATCCAATGCTTATTTCCCCTAAATTGATTTTTTTATTTTTATTGTTATTCATGTTTTTATACTGTATTTTATGCTGCTTTTATAATTGTTTTAAATTTGTTGTTAGCCGCCCCGAGCCCGGTTTTTGAACCGGGAAGGGCAGGGTATAAACAAAAAAATATTATTATTATTAGCCATTGGCCTGAGCCAGGTTCTTATGTCCTTATGGATCCTCCAGGCCCAGAGGCAGTCTCATCTAGATTCCTAGGTTCGTTAGGGTATTTAGCCACTGGGAGAAGAGGATGCTAGACTAGACGAGTCCCCTTTGGCCTGATCCGGCAGGCACTTCTTGTGTTCTTTCCCTCTCCGTGACGTCCAAGGAATCCCCAGACACCCATTGTGAACTGTCCCCTTGATGTTCTGCTTGAGAGAGGGGATGCTGGGCTGGGCGGGTCTTTGCTTTGATGCTGCAGCCAGATTCCCTTCCTCCCACAGGTAAAGGTGAAGGGACCCCTGACCGTTAGGTCCAGTCGTGGCCGACTCTGGGGTTGCGGCGCTCATCTCGCTTTATTGGCCGAGGGAGCCGGCGTACAGCTTCCGGGTCATGTGGCCAGCATGACTAAGCCGCTTCTGGCGAACCAGAGCAGTGCCCGTCAACGCCATTTACCTTCCCGCTGGAGTGGTACCTATTTATCTACTTGCACTTTGATGTGCTTTCGAACCGCTAGGCTGGCAGGAGCAGGGACCGAGCAACGGGAGCTCACCCCGTCGCGGGGAATTCGAACCGCCGACCTTCTGATCGGGAAGCCCTAGGCTCTATGGTTTAAGCCACAGCGCCACCCACGTCCCACTCCTTCCACAGAGACACCCCTCATTCTCTACCCCCTCCAGACCTGTGTGGCTCATTTTCCTTCCTTGTTCCCTTTAGAAAGACCCACACCAGGCACTGAAGGAGCTGGCCAAGATCTGCATCCTCGCTGATTGTACCCTCATCCTGGCCTGGAGGTGAGGACCAAAGATGACGGGGGGGGGGGAGGCGTCTGCACAAACTTGAAACAACAGCATAGAGGAAGTTTCCAGCTTCTGAATCAGTGGCCTGAATGCGGTCTAGCTCTGGCCCAAGGTAGTTTGGAGGGGGCAGGGATTCAGCAGCAGGGCAAGCACTTGGTGTGCAGAAGACCCAGGGTGCAAATCCAGGTTAAAAAGCCAGATTTCTAGCAGCAGGACCTGGAATTGGCTCTGCCCCAGAAAACGGTGGATGGCTGCATTCTTTCACTGGCTGGTCTGTGTACTCAGCGAATTCCCTCTCAATCCAGCCCTCAGCCTGCCTCTTCCCATCGCAAAGACTTTTCTGCTGCTAGAGTCCATGGCAGAGGGTGTATTCCTGTGCGTCAGGAGGCAGGCTGCCCCAGCCCACCCCTGTGGGTAATATATAATAAATAATAATTTATTATTTATACCCCGTCCATCTGGCTCGGCTTCCCCAGCCACTCTGGGCAGCTTCCAACAAAATATTAAAATACCGTAATACATCAAACATTAAAAGCTTCCCTGAACAGGGCTGCCTTCAGATGTCTTCTAAAAGTCTGGTAGTTATTCTCTTTGACATATAGTGGGAGGGCATTCCACAGGGAGGGCGCCACTACCAAGAAGGCCCTCTGCCTGGTTCTCTGTAACTGGGCTTCTTGCAGGGAGGGAACCGCCAGAAGGCCCTCGGTGCTGGACCTCAGTGTCCGGGCAGAACGATGGGGGTGGAGATGCTCCTTCAGATATACTGGACCGTGGCCGTTTAGGGCTTTCAAAGTCAGCACCAACACTTTGAATTGTGCTCGGTACTGGGAGCCAGTGTAGGTCTTTCAAGACCGGTATTATGTGGTCTTGGCTGCCACTCCCAGTCACCAGTCTAGCTGCCGCATTCTGGATTAGTTGTAGTTTCTGGGTCACCTTCAAAGGTAGCCCCATGTACAGTGCATTGCAGTAGTTCAAGTGGGAGATAACCAGAGCATTCACCACTCTGGCGAGGCAGTCCACGGGCAGATAGGGTCTCATCCTGCGTACCAGATGGAGCTGGTAAACAGCTGCCCTGGACACAGAATTGACCTGCACCTCCATGGACAGCTGTGAGTCCAAAATGACTCCCAGGCTGCGTACCTGGTCCTTCAGCGACACAGTTACCCCATTCAGGACCAGGGAGTCCCCCACACCCGCCCACCTTCTGTCCCCCAAAAACAGTACTTCTGTCTTGTCAGGATTCAACCTCAATCTGTTAGCCGCCATCCATCCTCCAACTGCAGTTGCATTGCTCCAAAGACCTAGGGAATGAGACGCTCCCTTTTGGAAAGCATTTCCCAGCCCCCAAATCTTGTGAGATGACACCTGCCTCCCCTCCCCTGTCGAGGTGGCGACACACATTGCACCACGTGCAGAATCCCCAGCTTGTCAGCTACTCGAGGAACCTAAGTTTCCAGTCCTCATTGTCAATAGATTAGATTTTTTTCCCCCCAGGGAAAAAAAAAGGGCAACCATGAAACTTGCTGTCAAGCTTTGCTCATGAAACAGGGGGTGTTGTGTTGCGAGGTGGGTCTGCTGAGCCCTCCGGCTTCTCTTTCCCCTCTCCAGCCCGGAGGAAGCAGGACGCTACTTGGAAACCTACAAAGCCTACGAACAGAAGCCAGCTGACTTGCTGAAGGAGAAAGTGGACCGGGACTACCTGTCGAGAGTAAGAAACTCCTTGCCACCAGCCTCAGCCGTGTTAGCTAGAGAGCCCCAGGCCTAGATGAGGCTCATTTTCCCCAGTGGCTGATTGCCCCCTTTTTATTCCCACTCTCACACACAGAGAGCCCTTTCCAACTCCGCCACTTGGGTAACAGGTTGTCAGCATCTATTTCCTCCCATGCCTGTCATCCAAATAATCCCAGATGGAAAAAGGATGAAGGCGGCACTGTTTTTAAGGAGACAGTGGCCGTAAGTCCTTGACCGCCACATGTATGACAGATCACCCTTTGCCATCTCTAAAACCAACCATCTCCCTCACGTGCTTTTACTGAAAGCACCTGAAATGCTACTAGCATTCATTCCTCTCTGAAGCTTGCAAAATGAATAGAAACACCAACCATGGTCAGGTGACGAAGAGCTTTCCACAGAATCATAGTTGGCAGGGACCACGAGGCTCATCTACCGCAACCTCTTGCAACACAGGAATCTCTTGCCCGACATGGGGCTTGAACCCACAACCCTGAGATTAAGAGCATCCCAGGCCTGGCCAGTGTGGTATAGTGCTTAAGAGCGGTGGACTCGTAATCTGGTGAACCGGGTTCGCGTCTCCGCTCCTCCACATGCAGCTGCTGGGTGACCTTGGGCCAGTCACACTTCTCTGAAGTCTCTCAGCCCCACTCACCTCACAGTGTGTTTGTTGTGGGGGAGGAAGGGAAGGGAGAATGTTAGCCGCTTTGAGACTCCTTTGGGTAGTGATAAAGCGGGATATCAAATCCAAATTCTTCTTCTTCTTCCTTCTCTCATTGCAGGTGACAGACTGCCTGACCAGCGTGAAATCGGTGAACAAGACAGACACCCTGAGTCTGCTCACCACCTTTGGAGTGAGTGTCTTTCCTTGGCATGGGAGGGGCAAGTTTTCAAGAGAAGCACCCATTTCAAGTCTGGCAGCCTATGCCCTTTGACCCAAAAGCCCTTCCCTTTAATCCCAGAAATGAGATATTCCGGGGGGACAGGACTGCTTCAGCGCTAAAAATACACTCAGGGTACCGCCACCCCCACTCCCTTTTGGAAACACTTCCTGTGGCCCTCCTACAGAACAGGGCTGGAGAACCTCAGGCCTGGGCACTAAATGTGGCCCTGTAAGCCTCTTCTGCCGGGCCTTCAGGTCTCTCCCCAGCCCCCACCGCCCGTCAGCCCTGCCTCAAACTCTCCTTGAGCATTTCTGACAAGCTGGAATGTTGCAATAATGCTTCTCGGGGCGGCCAGAGAGGGGTGTGGGTGTCTGTGTAGCAGCTAGCTCACTGTACAAAGGTAGTATTTGCATCCACCTGCCTTAGCATCTGGTCCCGCCCGGGGAACACGGCCCCTAGACTTGAAAAGGGTTCCCCAGCCCTGCTGCAGAACACTTTGTGAACTCTTAAGCCCTGTTCTTCCTTCTTAGACTTGCTTTTTAACTCTTGCCTTGTAGTCGCTGCAAAGCATCATCCAGGCTTCCAAGGAGGATCTGTCCCTGTGCCCAGGGATCGGGCCCCAAAAGGTACAGCTGTCCAATGCACAAATAGTTTTTCGTCGGCTTGTGGGAGGTCAAGGCCTGCCACATCGTAGTACTGTAGTCAGGTACTTTGCAAGGTAAAAGGTAAAGGACCCCCAGACGGTTAAGTCCAGTCAAAGGAGACTATGGGGTTGTGGGGTTGATCTTGCTTTCAGGCCGAGGGAGCCGGTGTTTTTCCACAGACAACTTTCCAGGTCATGTGGCCAGCATGACTAAACCGCTTCTGGCACAACAGAACACTGTGATGGAAACCAGAGCGCACGGAAACGGAGGTGGCGCTGTGGTCTAAACCACCAAGCCTCTTGGGCTTGCCGATTGCAAGGTCGGCGGTTCGAATCCCCACGACGGAGTGAGCTCCCGTTGCTTGGTCCCTGCTTCTGCCAACCTAGCAGTTCAAAAGCACACCAGTGCAAGTAGATAAATAGATACCGCTGCAGCAGGAAGGTAAACAGCATTTCTGTGCGCTGCTCTGGTTTCCGTCACGGTGTTCCGTTGCACCAGAAGCGGTTTAATCCTGCTGGCCACATGACCCAGAAAGCTGTCTGTGGACAAACGCTGACACCCTCGGCCTGAAAGCGAGATGAGCGCCACAACTCCATAGTCGCCTTTGACTGGACTTAACCATCCAGGGGTCCTTTACCTTTTTTACCTTTACTTTGCAACGTCTCCCAGGAACTACTTTTGAGGCCTCAATCTTCTCGCTCTCAGGACTGAAGGGAGAGAAAGTGTGAAATGGCTGGATTCGCATCCTGGGCTGCATTTCCCGTGGGTGGTGCAGCAGCAGCAGCAGCAGCAGCAGCCTCATGGGCCCTATCAAAAGTGACTTTAAGATTGGAAGGGAGTCAGGGATGTCATTGTGGGAAACTAAGTGTGCAATTGCTGGGAGGCTGCTGCTGGTGGTGAACAGGGAGCACAGCAGAAGCAGCAAATTGAAGCAGGTAATAAGAGCATCTCAGGGCGCAAGCAGCTAAGCTGTGGGCCTTATCCTGAAAAGTAAACACCCCAGTCTTCACGATTCTCAACACAGAGCTAGCTGATTTACATAGCAGCAGAAGCTGCTGCCTGATACCACAATAGACCATCTAACTGGCAGCAAGCTCCAGGGTTTCAGGCATCTGTACTGTTGGGGACTGAGCGTAGGACTCTGATCTGCAATGGCTTTGGGGTCTCCTAGGGTTGGGACTGCTTTGGGGAAGAGGGTGACAGAGAGAGCCTCCTTTTCCACTCACAGGTTCCCCCAGAGCAGCACCCATGAGAATCCCCACAACCACTTCTCCCTCCTCCTACACACACATTTTTCTCCCCAATTTTCACCAGCACCCCTTTTCTTCCAGGCCAGAAGGCTCTTTGACGTCCTGCACCAGCCGTTCCTCAAAGCTGTGAAGTGAGCAGGGGCCTCTGTGGCGAGAAGACCAGGAGCACGTTCTCTGCAAGTCTGTTGTCTGGCGTCCCGTCCCCCCACCCCTCAAACTTCCCAGCTCAAAAACTCAGCTGCCTGCAGAGCCTTGAGGAAGCCCTGCAGAGGAGCACAACCTCCAGGAAGGGGACAAAACCTTTTATTTTTCCAGCAGCCAACGATATTTCTCTTTTTCCCCACCCACTTTGCAATAAAACACCACTGTGCGGCAAAACCCACTCCCCAAGATTCTCCCTTATTCTTCTTGGGTGAAGGGAGCAAGCTTTGCTGAAAAAGAAAGTTTGGTTCCTGCTTCACAGCTCCTTATCTAATCCAGAGGCAGAAAATAAGGATCTGAGCAGCTGCGGGCAAACCAGGGACCCCTTCAAATCTCTGTCTCCTGTAGCAACCGGACAAGCTGCGTAGAGTCCGTAGAGGTGGAGGGGACATTGTTCTCAGAAAAAGCAGGAGTTTTTGTCCCCACCCCAACCCCGCAAGATGTCCCCAACCTGAGCTGGAGGGCAGCTTTTCATTCCTGCTCGCTCGCCGGCTCCTCCTTCCATGACGCTTCCTCCTCCCTCTTGTGCTTCTTCTTTTTCTTTTTGTGATGCTTCTGGCTGAGCTCCTCCGCTCTGGGCTCAGAGGACTCCCCTTCCCACTGCCCCTCTCCTCCTTCTCCGGGTGGCCCAGAGGGGGCCTCCAGCTCCCCCCAACCCTCCAGCTCCTGCTTCACAGAGCTGGGCTCCAGCGACGCTGTCCCCCGTTCCTCCTCGGCTTTCTCCCTCTTCTTCTTTTTCTTCTTCTTGGGAGGGCTAAGCTCAGGCTCCTCTTTGACTTGTGCCAGGCAGGCCTGGGGGCTGCCCCCCAGGCTGCTCAGCTCCCTCCCTGGCTCAGTCTCGAGGCAGGCAGGGACCACCAAGGCCGTTGGCACCGAAGCTGCCTCCTCTTCATGCCTCCGTTTCTTCTTATGCTTGTGTGCAGCCTTCCCCCCTGCCTGGGACCTGGGCTCAGCCTCCCCGGGTGCCACCACCCTCTCCTCCTCCTCTTCTTTCCTCTTCTCCTTCTTCCTCTTCTTGCTCCTGCGCTCCTCCTCCCCAGCCCCTTCCTCGGGGGCTATCTCCTCTCGTACCACCAGCCCTTCGGAAATTGCCTCCAGACCTCGACTCTCCCGGGACTCCTCTTGCTTCACCAGGGGGTGCTCCTGGGGGTCTGCCACCCTCTCGAGGGTCCGCTTCTTTTTCTTCTTCTTCCGGGGGTGCTCCTCGGCAGCTTCCTGCACGGGAGGGGGCCGCTTCGGACAGCCCCCAAAAGGCAGGAAGCGCTGCTTGAGGCCTTCGGGGATCTGGGGGGCTGGTCTGGCTGCCACAGGGAAGAGGGGCTGGTTGGCACTGGGGTCTCCATACCTCTCGCAAAAAGTCAGGGAGCTGCTGAAAGGGGGTGCGCAGGTGAGGAGGTCCAAGTGGCCCGACGGGACGAGCAGGCGGGCACTGCTGCCCCGGTCCCCTGGAGTCGCTTGGACGTGGTAGACCTTCTGGGTCGCGTCCGACTGCGGCGCCTTCAGAATCTGGAAGCCCACGAGGGGTACGGCGTGGCCTTCGAGGCTGCGGGGCAGGAACCAAGGAACATGTGAGAGAGTTAGCCATGGAAGAGGACACAGATTCATTTCCACACAGAAGCAACAAAGCTTTTAAAATGGATTATTTTACAGGATGTTGGTTGCACAAGCGAACGCTGTATTTGCAGAACCTGGGAACAACCAGACCTGACCCTGCACACTCGTTCGCGGACTGTCCCCACTCCTCCCCAAGGAAAAGAGCGATGGGGGGGGGGTACTGCTGGTTTTGACCTACAAAGGCGTACACAGCTCAGGACCCCAATGCCTCAAGGACCACCTCTCCCCATGTGAACCAGCCTGGACCCCGCAACCATCATTCAAGGCCTTTCTTTGTGTTCCCCCTCAATGAAAGGTCCACAGGGTGGTGACACGAGAACGGGGCCCTTTCAGTAGTGGCTCCTCACAAGATGCTCTCCTGGCATCATCACTCCATATCTTCTGGCAGGCACCAGAAAAAACATTCCTTTTTAACCAGGCCTTTGACTTTTAAGTCTCTATGGCCTTTTTGCATGGATGGGACGCTTTAGTGTAAAATAAATACGGTCAAACCTTGGTTCCTGAACGGCTTAGTTGCTGAACAAATCAGCTCCCAAACGCCATAAGTGTTCCAGTTTGCAAACATTTTTTGGAAGGTTTTCAAACGGTTTTGGGAGTCGAACGGACTTCTTGAAAGGATTAAGTTCGAGAACCAAGGTACCACTCTAAATAAATTACATCATTGTCTTTTAGATTTTTTCAAAAGTTGGTTTTAAGGTATATATGTGATTGCTTGAAATACGGCAAGTTGCTTTTGAGCAGCAAAAAAAGGTGAATAATAAATGCAATTAACAATAATAATACCCCCATCTTAAGGCAGCTTTCTCCAACCTGGTCTACAGGACAACAACTCCCCTTGGCTGAAACCAGTGTGGCCCTGTGACGCTGAGGCTGATGGGAGCTGTAGTCCAACACGCCTGCAGGGCACCAGGTTGCAGAAAGGGGACCTGAGGCTTCCTGAGCTCGCTCATGCTCACATGCACACAAACATGCCTACCTCTCAGGGCTGAAGTTAGCGGGGGCTCTGATCAGCACCAGCTGCTTTGAGGGGCTCCGGAGCGACTCAGGGCTGAGGGGCGGCCCCGGGGCAAACGGGCTGGCAGCGAACTCCTCCGGGCACTCAAAACGCAATGGTCCTGGTGGGGAGGGAGAGATTGGAGAGGTCAGTAAATAGCCCCCAGTATTATGGCAATTAAGGGACGTAGGTGGCGCTGTGGGTTAAACCGCAGAGCCTAGGACTTGCCGATTAGAAGGTCGGCGGTTTGAATCCCCGTGACGGGGTGAGCTCCCGTTGCTCGGTCCCTGCTCCTGCCAACCTAGCAGTTCGGAAGCACGTCAAAGTGCAAGTACAGTGGTACCTCATGTTATATACGCTTCAGGTTACATACGCTTCAGGTTACAGACTCTGCTAACCCAGAAATAGTGCTTCAGGTTAAGAAGTTTGCTTCAGGATGAGAACAGAAATCGTGCTCCAGTGGTGTGGCAGCAGCAGGAGGCCCCATTAGCTAAAGTGGTGCTTCAGGTTAAGAACAGTTTCAGGTTAAGAACGGACCTCCAGAACGAATTAAGTACTTAACCTGAGGTACCACTGTAGATAAATAGGTACCACTCTGGTGGGAAGGTAAACGGTGTTTCCGTGCGCTGCTCTGGTTCGCCAGAAGCAGCTTAGTCCTGCTGGCCACATGACCCGGAAGCTGGACGCCGGCTCCCTCGGCCAATAAAGCGAGATGAGCGCCGCAACCCCAGAGTCGGCCACGACTGGACCTAATGGTCAGGGGTCCCTTTACCTTTTACTATTATGGCAAGTTCTTAAAGAAATGGGAGTGCCTGATCACCTCATCTGTCTCCTGAGAAATCTCTATGTGGGACAAGAAGCTACAGTTAGTACTGGATATGGAACAACTGATGGATTCAAAATTGGGAAAGGAGTACGACAAGGCTGTATATTGTCTCCCTGCTTATTTAACTTATATGCTGAATTCATCATGCGATGGGCTGGATGAATCCCAAGCCGGAATTAAGATTGCCGGAAGAAATATCAACAACCTCAGATATGCAGATGACACAACCTTGACGGCAGAAAGTGAGGAGGAATTAAAGAATCTTATAATGAGGTTGAAAGAGAGCGCAAAATATGGTCTGAAGCTCAGCATCAAAAAAACTAAGATCATGGCCACTGGTCCCATCACCTCCTGGCAAATAGAAGGGGAAGAAATGGAGGCAGTGAGAGATTTTCCTTTCTTGGGCTCCATGATCACTGCAGATGGTGACAGCAGTCAGGAAATTAAAAGATGCCTGCTTCTTGGGAGAAAAGCAATGACAAACCTAGACAGCATCTTAAAAAGCAGAGACATCACCTTGCCAACAAAGGTCCGTATAGTTAAAGCTATGGTTTTCCCAGTAGTGATGTATGGAAGTGAGAGCTGGACCATGAAGAAGGCTGATCGCCGAAGAATGGATGCTTTTGAATTCTGGTGCTGGAGGAGACTCTTGAGAGTCCCATGGACTGCAAGAAGATCAAACCTCTCCATTCTGAAGGAAATCAGCCCTGAGTGCTCACTGGAAGGACAGATCGTGAAGCTGAGGCTCCAAGACTTTGGCCACCTCAGGAGAAGAGAAGACTCCCTGGAAAAGACCCTGATGTTGGGAAAGGTGGAGGGCACAAGGAGAAGGGGACGACAGAGGACGAGATGGTTGGACAGTGTTCTCGAAGCGAGCAGCATGAGTTTGACCAAACTGCGGGAGGCAGTGGAAGACAGGAGTGCCTGGCGTGCTCTGGTCCAGGGGGTCACGAAGAGTCGGACACGACTAAACATCAGGGAGACCTTGCAGGCCCTTTGGCATCAGGACCACAGGCCCCCTCTGCTCTTCGCCCTCCGCAGGTACCCTGCCCTTGCACATGGAGGCTCCACTCCGCTCCCACCCTCCCCGCAGCTGCCTCGCCCCCTTCTTAGGCTCCTTCTGGGAAACGGGGGCCGAAGAACCTACTCGCCCACCCCACCCCCCCAGCTCACCCTCCGGGGCTCCGCTCCGGCCGCCCCGCACCTCCATGACTGCAGCGCCCACGTGGAGCTCCTGGCAGCCCCAGCCGCTTCCGGGTTCTCACGGGAGGGGGGAAGCTCTTGGTACGCTCCACGCTCTCAGGCACTCTCGGCCGGATGACGTCAGCGGCGTCCCCCGGGCAGAGCACAATGGTACCTTCCCGGCCCTTAAAGGGGAAACGAGCTCGCCTTTTCCCCTTTGTTTTTTGTCCGCCGACATCAATGTGATTTTTCTATAGAGAGCTGCCGTTGTTCCAAACGGGGGTTGGCAGCAGGGGGATTTAACAGGGGGGCAGCACAAGGGATGGGGAGGGACGGTCAGTGCATCTGGCTGCTGCTAACCAGAAGGTTGCTGGTTCGAGCCCACCCAGGGACGGCTGTGGTGGTCAGTGTTCCTGCTTTGCAGCGGGTTGAGCTAGATGACCCCGGGGGAGCCCTTCCAACTATCAATCCCATGCTCCTGAGTCGATGTGCTTAGGATTGAGTCTTCTCCATGCGTCGCCCCGCCCCGCGCATTTTCAGGCCTCTTAAGTTATACAGTGGTACCTCGGGTTACATACGCTTCAGGTTATAGACTCCGCTAACCCAGAAATAGTGCTTCAGGTTAAGAACTTTGCTTCAGGATGAGAACAGAAATCGTGCTCCGGCGGCTCAACAGCAGCAGGAGGCCCCATTAGCTAAAGTGGTGCTTCAGATTAAGAACAGTTTCAGGTTAAGAACAGACCTCCAGAACGAATTAAGTACTTAACCCGAGGTACCACTGTATAAGCGAGTTGGAGAAACTCAGAGGTGCTCCATTTCCCTTTGAGCCCCCGGATATATTGCTGCTGGCTGGGGCATCCATATCAAGTTAAGGTTGAAGCTTTTGGGGCGAGCCTAGGACTTGCCGATCAGAAGGTCGGCGGTTCGAATCCCCGCGACGGGGTGAGCGCCTGTTGCTCAGTCCCTGCTCCTGCCAACTTAGCAGTTTGAAAGCACGTCAAAGTGCAAGTAGATAAATATGTACCGCTCTGGCAGGAAGGTAAACGGCGTTTCCATGCGCAGCTCTGGTTCGCCAGAAGCGGCTTAGTCCTGCTGGCCACATGACCCGGAAGCTGTACGCCGGCTCCCTCGGCCAGTAAAGCGAGATGAGCACCGCAACCCCAGAGTCGGCCACGACTGGACTTAATGGACCACATAACACCGGTCTTGAAAGACCTACATTGGCTCCCAGTACGTTTCCGAGCACAATTCAAAGTGCTGGTGTTGACCTTCAAAGCCCTAAACAGCCTCGGCCCAGTATACCTGAAGGAGCGTCTCCACCCCCCATCATTCTGCCCGGACGCTGAGGTCCAGCACCGAGGGCCTTCTGGCGGGTTCCCTCACTGTGAGAAGCGAAGTTACAGGGAACCAGGCAGAGGGCCTTCTCGGTAGTGGCGCCCGCCCTGTGGAACGCCCTCCCATCAGATGTCAAAGCGATAAACAACTACCTGACATTCAGAAGACATTTTAAGGCAGCCCTGTTCAGGGAAGTTTTTAATGTGTGGTATTTTAGTGTATTTTGGTTTCTGTGGAAGCCGCCCAGAGTGGCTGGGGAAACCCAGCCAGATGGGCAGCGTACAAATAATAAATTATTATTATAATGGTCAGGGGTCCCTTTACCTTTAGTTTAGAAAAAAGGCGAGGAAGAGGCGACGTGATAGAAGTTTGCAGCATTATGCACGGCATGGAGAAAGAGGAGAGAGAAACATTTCTCTCCCTCTCTCAGAACAGTAGAAGCCATGGACATCCCATGAAGCTGAACATCAGAAGATAAAATGAAGTTGTTGGACTGCAAAAACGAAGAGCGTATGGTTAAACTGGGGAACTCCCTCCCACAGGAGGCTGTGATGCTTCTGAATCCCAGTTGCTGGAAACTGCAGGAGGGGAGAGTTGCTTTCATGCTCATATCCTTCTTGTGGCATCTGGTTGCCACTGTGAGAACAGGATGCTGGTCTACGTGGGTCCTTGGCCTGATCCAGCCGGCTCTTCTTAAATGTAATAATAAGCTCAAAATCAATTCAAGTGGGTTAGTTATTTACTATTTAAAGTTCGTGTTCAGTCAGGCTTCGTGGCCAAAGCGATGCAGAGAGGCTGATACTTTTGCTTTGTGTGCTTGTGGGTGATGCATGAAGATCCCGATCAACTCTAGTGAGCAGGGTCGTGACTCTTGGTTAATCCAAAGGAAAAGGAGAGTGATCTTGCATATTACGGTGTATAATTTGTGATCCATATGTACCCTGCAATTCTTCTTTCCGCCACTGGGTGTCACTGTTGCATTGCCAGCTGGTGCTTCCGTATGTAAAAAATAATAATGTGAATTTTAATCTGGTTTGGTATTTTAACTTGTATGTTTTTAAGCATTATTGTTTCCCTTGATTTTATTGTTTTGTCTTTTTGTAAGCAGCTTTGAGGGGGGGTTTTTTACTGTCAAGCGGAGTATAATTTTTATGGAGTAAATGGATTTTTAAAAATGAATTTTGCAGCAGAAAAAAAAAAGATTAACGCACAGCTGGGGGTGCAACAGTATGATTCTCACCAGACAATTATTTTAACTAAATTAAGCAATGTGAGCAGGGGAGGCAGGAGAGCAGGAACCAACCAGAACTAAATGGGTGACGGCCTTAGAGACATAGCTGTCAACTTTTCCCTTTTCTTGCAAGTAATCCTATTTGGAATAAAGGGAAACGTTGACAGCTATGCTTAGAGGATCAGACCTAAGTGCTCCCACCTCCCTCAAAGCCCAGTACCCTCTTTCTCTCATTGCCCAGCCAAACACCCCAGTGGGGTCCCCATAAGACAGAAGTCCTCTCCAGGGTTTGTTCATCTTTTACCCCCAGCAACTGTCAGGCAGACGTGTGCAACCATTGATCTATCAAGCTCAGCTGGCAGCAATGGCTGTCCAGTGCTCCAGGGTAGGAATCTTTCTCAACTCTTATTTATTTCACAAAATCTATATACCACTTGATTGGTTTTGTTTAAAAAAAAAATCAGCAAGAACCTCCAAGTGGTTTACAAAAGGGGAAAAAAAACAATAAAATCAAGCGAAATTTACAACAATGGTTTGAAACATACAAAAACTTTAAATACTAAAATGTAAAGTTCACACCAACTTTCTAAGCATCTGGACAGGCCTGTCTAAACAAGGACGTTTTTTGCAGTCACCAAAAAGTTCACAGGGAAGTTGCCTGCTTGATGTCAATAGGCAGGGAGTTCCAAAGTGTGGGAATGTTCAGGGTGGCAGGAGAGGATATATTGTTTATTAGTATCCTAATATTAGGTCCGTATAGGTCCGTATAGTTAAAGCCATGGTCTTCCCAGTAGCGATGTATGGAAGTGAGAGCTGGACCATAAAGAAGGCTGATCGCCAAAGAATTGATGCTTTTGAATTCTGGTGCTGGAGGACTGCAAGAAGATCAAACTTCTCTATTCTGAAGGAAATCAGCCCTGAGTGCTCACAGGAAGGACAGGTCCTGAAGCTGAGGCTCCAAGACTTTGGCCACCTCAGGAGAAGAGAAGACTCCCTGGAAAAGACCCTGATGTTGGGAAAGATGGAGGGCACAAGGAGAAGGGGACGACAGAGGACGAGATGGTGGGACAGTGTTCTCGAAGCTACCAGCATGAGTTTGACCAAACTGCGGGAGGCAGTGGAAGACAGGAGTGCCTGGCGTGCTCTGGTCCATGGGGTCATGAAGAGGCGGACACGACTAAACAACTAAACAAAGTATCCTTCCTAATTTGCATTAGCCAGTTTCTTTACTTAGCAGAGTTTACACCCCCCTTTTTACATGCACAGCAGATAGCTGGTTGCAGGCTCGTGTGAGCCTCTGACTATTATACAGTTCAGTCTGTCTCAGATTGAATTGTACGTTCCTGGCAAGTTCCCTCAAATCCCTCTTAAAAGAATAAAGACACCACAGTCTTATTCATTAGCAGAGTTTACATTCCCCTTTTTACAAGCACAGCAGATAGCTGGTTGCAGGCTCGTGTGAGCCTCTGACTATTATACAGTTCAGTCTGTCTCAGATTGAATTGTACGTTCCTGGCAAGTTCCCTCAAATCCCTCTTAAAAGAATAAAGACACCACAGTCTTATTCATTAGCAGAGTTTACATTCCCCTTTTTACAAGCACAGCAGATAGCTGGTTGCAGGCTCGTGTGAGCCTCTGACTATTATACAGTTCAATCTGTCTCAGATTGAATTGTACGTTCCTGGTAAGTTCCCTTGATTCCCTCTTAAAAGAATAAAGACGCCACAATCTTATTCAAAGTCAATAAAAGAAGTTTACTTACATCATTTCACAGTTGGATCCCTGAAGGCAGACTTAGTTACAAATATGTACATGTGGATCTACCCCATATGGGGGAATAATCCCAGTGCTTCTGCTAGCTGAGAGCTAGCAGAGTCCTATCCAAAAGCTGGTCAAATGAAGAAGGAAGTGAAAAAGAGAGAGGTGTGCTGTGTGACTCGTCCTTTTGTTACCTGGACAGGTTAGGTCACGCCCACCTTCTATCACATGCAAAGGAAGGATGCTCCAGCCAGGAGGAACAGGAAGTTTCCACTGGCTGGACCAAACATTCCCTCATATGTCTTCTCTAGCGTTATAAGGAATGTTGTACTTGACTGCTTCTCATGGATCACATCCCACACAAAGTTTATGTGCTACCACTCTTAAGTTGTGCCAGTTCCACTAATTGAATAGGTCGAGTGGGCATACATGGGGCAAGACGATCTCGTAGGTACACTGTGTTGAATGGTCTCTTTAAATTTGAAGGTTCATTATTGTTCCACAAGATGCGTATTTCTTTAAAGGCCTGAGCAAATAATGTGACCTAGTTTTACAGCTGTGAAGCAGTATAGCAGGTGCTGTTAAGTTGTGGTAATTAAGCTGTTGGGTATGGTATATAAAGAGCAGCATGTAGTTGGATGGGTCATGCTTATGGATATATTGTAATTTAGTGTAAAAGGAGTTTTTGTTATTAAAACCTAGCAAAAGTTATTTTGCGTTTCTTAAATCTGTGGTCTCCCCAGCACACCTTCTGCAGTGCAACTAATCTGCAAAATAACCAACACACTGGTCCCAGGTTAAGGGTTTTATATGCTAGTAGTAACACCTGAAAAGGGATGCGGGTGGCGCTGTGGGTTAAACCACAGAGCCTAGGGCTTTTGCCGATCAGAAGATCAGCGGTTCGAATCCCCGCGACGGGGTGAGCTCCCATTGCTCGGTCCCTGCTCCTGCCAACCTAGCAGTTCAAAAGCATGTCAAAGTGCAAGTAGATAAATGGGTACCGCTCCAGACAGGAAGGTAAACGGCGTTTCCGTGCGCTGCTCTGGTTCGCCAGAAGCGGCTTAGTCATG